TTTTCTTATCCTCCCCAGTATTCCCCAATTCTTCAATTCTTCTAAATTCTTCTTCAAATATCCTCCCAATTATTCTCTAATTATCCTCCAAATATCCTCCCAATTATTCTCTAATTATCCTCCAAATATTTTCCAATTATTCCCTCACCAATTCTTCAATTATTCTTCAAGTATCCTCCAATGATCCCCCACCCATTCCTTCAATTATCCTCCTCCTATCCTCCAATAACCCCCCACCCATTCCTTCACTTATCCTCCAATTCTCCTCCAATTCTCCAATTCTCCTCTCAATTATTCTCTAATTATCCTCCAAATATTTTCCAATTATTCCCTCACCAATTCTTCAATTATTCTTCAAGTATCCTCCAATGATCCCCCACCCATTCCTTCAATTATCCTCCTCCTATCCTCCAATAACCCCCCACCCATTCCTTCACTTATCCTCCAATTCTCCTCCAATTCCCAATTCTCCAATTACCCGCCACCCATCCCCAACGCCCCAACGCCCCAATCCCGCCCATGTCTCCACCCACCGATTCCCCCTTCGTCGCCCGCCTGTGCTGGCCCGCCAGCCCCCGCGAAAAAAACGGCCCCATGTCCCGGGCCCCGCCGCAGTCTGCGCACCCAGGCCTAGGGCGTGCGGGCCTCCTGTCGTTTGGCCCGGCCCGCCCCACTGCGCTCAGGCCCTGCCAGCGCTTTTTCCTAAAACCACATCCCATTTCTTCGCCCTCACCCCCCTCCCCGCCCGCTGTCCCCACGCAGATCCCGCCGGCGCTTCTCTTTCTTTCTCCCCCCGTTTCCCCGCGAGCCCTGCCCGCGCCCGTCTGGCTGCTGTTTTTTTTTTCCAGTGCCAGCCGCCACCCCCTAAGCGCCGCTTGCCGCCGCCACCCCTTCCCGAAAAATGCCGCGGGTCAGCGTCAAGGTCGTGGCCGCAGAGAGCCTCTACAAGCGCGACGTGTTCCGCCAGCCGGACCCGTTTGCCGTGATCACCGTGGACGGGCTGCAGACCAAAACCACCAAGACCGCCAAGAAAACGCTCAACCCCTACTGGAACGAGACCTTCTCCTTGGACGCCAGCGAGGACTCCATCTTGGTCATCCAGGTGTTCGACCAGAAGAAGTTCAAGAAGAAGGACCAGGGCTTCTTGGGCGTGGTCAACGTGCGCGTGGGCGACGTCATCGACCTCTCCACGGCAAGCTTCGAGGAGACCATCACACGTGACTTGAAGCGCCTGAACGAGAACTTGGCCGTCAGCGGCCGCGTGATCGTCGTGCTTGGGCACAGCTCGGGCCCGGCCCCGGCGCCGGCGCCCGCCGCCTCCACGGCGCCCCCGGCCGCCCATGCCGGCGCACCGCCGCCCCACTCCGCGGCCCTGGAGCCGCCCGCCGCCGCCGCCAACAAGCAGTACTCCTCCTTCGAGGACCAGCTCGGCCGCTTGCCGCCCGGCTGGGAGCGCCGCACCGACAACTTCGGCCGCACCTACTACGTCGACCACAACTCGCGCACGACCACCTGGCAGCGGCCCACCTTGGACCAGCTGGAGTCCGAGCGCGACCAGCAGCGCGACGACTACACGGAGGCGGAGCGCCGCCAGCACCGCGGCCGCACGCTCCCGGGCCAGACGCCGCAGTCGCCCGTGTTGAACACGGCCTCCAGCGGCAGCGTCACGGTCAACTCCTCGGGCGCCAACACGCCCGTGAGCCCCGCCGCGGCCGTGTCCATGGCCGCCTCGGGCGCCACCACCCGCGGCTTGGGCGAGTTGCCCTCGGGCTGGGAGCAGCGCTTCACCAACGAGGGCCGCCCGTACTTCGTCGACCACAACACGAGAACCACCACCTGGGTCGACCCGCGCAGACAGCAGTACATCCGCACGTTCGGGCCCAACACCACCATCCAGCAGCAGCCGGTCAGCCAGTTGGGCCCGTTGCCCTCCGGCTGGGAGATGCGCTTGACCAACACGGCGCGCGTGTACTTCGTCGACCACAACACCAAGACCACCACGTGGGACGACCCCCGCTTGCCGTCCTCCTTGGACCAGAACGTGCCGCAGTACAAGCGCGACTTCCGGCGGAAGGTCATCTACTTCAGGTCGCAGCCGGCCTTGCGCATCTTGCCTGGGCAGTGCCACATCAAGGTCCGGAGAGACCACATCTTCGAGGACTCCTACCAGGAGATCATGCGGCAGACCCCCGACGACTTGAAAAAGAGACTCATGATCAAGTTCGACGGCGAGGAGGGCTTGGACTACGGCGGTGTCTCCAGAGAGTTCTTCTTCTTGTTGTCCCACGACATGTTCAATCCGTTCTACTGCCTCTTCGAGTACTCGAGCCACGACAACTACACCTTGCAGATCAACCCCAACTCGGGCATCAACCCAGAACACTTGAACTACTTCAAGTTCATCGGCAGAGTCGTGGGCTTGGGTGTCTTCCACAGAAGGTTCTTGGATGCTTTCTTCGTGGGCGCGCTCTACAAGATGATGTTGCACAAGAAAGTGGTCTTGCAGGACATGGAGGGCGTCGACGCGGAATTCTACAGATCCTTGCAGTGGATCATCGACAACGACATCACCGACGTCTTGGATCTCACCTTCAGCGCCGAAGACGACCAGTTCGGCCAGGTCGTCGAGGTCGACTTGAAGGCCGGAGGCAGGGACATCGAGGTGACCGAGGACAACAAGCACGAGTACGTGGAGTTGATTAGTGAGTGGAAGATCTCCAGGAGAATACAGGAACAATTCAAGGCGTTCATCGACGGCTTCAACGAGTTGATCCCTCAGGAATTGGTCAACGTCTTCGACGAAAGAGAGTTGGAGTTGTTGATTGGTGGGTTGGCCGAAATCGACGTGGACGACTGGAAAAAACACACCGACTACAGAGGCTACCAAGAAAGCGACCAAGTCGTGCAGTGGTTCTGGCGCTGTATCAAGGAGTGGGACTCAGAGCAGAAGGCAAGATTATTGCAGTTCACTACCGGCACTTCCAGAATCCCTGTCAACGGCTTCAAGGACTTGCAAGGCTCGGACGGGCCTCGCAGATTCACCATCGAAAAAGCTGGTGAGCCCCAACAGTTGCCCAAGTCTCACACATGCTTTAATAGGGTCGACTTACCCCCCTACACTAATTATGAGGCATTGAAGCAAAAGCTTACTTTGGCCGTGGAAGAAACTGTGGGTTTCGGCCAAGAGTAAGGTACTACGTTGACTGTGGCCGGCTCAATAATCTTGAGGGGAGAAAAAAACAACCTCCCAAGAGCAGTTTATTCCAACTTCTCCGTTCTCGACGTAACGCACGAACCAACTAAAACTTCTGTCATTTCTCGGCATGGAAATATCATAAACCCAGCTGACGACCATTCACTTCTTGTAAGGTGCCACGTCGTCGTCCGATGAGCATATATCTGATTTATGGAAAAAGTATGCATATTTACATTTTACTTGAATAATTCTTATCTGCGGGGAACCATAAGTGCAGAGATCTGTGATCAAGGCGTTCGCTCGAGAAGGAAATGGAGGGGAGCACGCTTTTCACGCGGGGTAGAACTGTATCTAACTCCCACCTCAGTATTCGTAGCAACCCAATAACAATAGTACTGATGGCAAAATGAAAAAGAAATAAGCTCAGTGCTTCTTCCGTGATTTTCGTATTTCGTCATCCCTTATGTAGGTGCCTTGATTGGTGACCCTCCCCGCTTCTCTGGCCTGGACTTGGCACGATGGCAAACGTCTCATATATAAAGAACGATGGAGTAACCATCGCTTCATTCGAATAGGTCATTTTTACCAATATATCTTTCTAACACAAAATCATATTATACCATGCCAGACTTATTCGACAACTTTTTCGGACGCATCGCGACTTCCATGAACGGAGGGAAAAGTAAGCCTCGTTACGGCGGCTCTTCTATGGTCAATTCAGGTCCATTCTATAGTTATCACAGTTCCAGCACAAACAACAACTATTGGTTGCCCGTTGTGAAGCCTGAAGACAAAAAAGAAATGGATGTAATCGAGCCCATGGATAAAGACACTAAGCCTAGGATGGACTCAGTAACGAGCATGATGTCGTCTGAAAGCTCAGACGTTGACCAATAATCCAACATTAGATACACAAAGCATGGGTCTGGAACTCTGCGCTGAACATTTTTAATACACCACTCGAATACACATGATTTTTCTTCATTGCACTCTCGTAGTTGTTGGCAGCCACAGATATAGAGATGTGCGGAGTGATAAAAGTTGTATATAAATGCAAGTAGTGAGAACTGAAGTTTGGAGAGGCGAGCGCCACGAGCCGAAGCGTTTTGGGGGTGTTATGCAAATCGAAAAAATGACCTGCCTTCAGTAGCAGCAGAAAACGCTTCGTATCCATGACTTCTTGTTTCTCCGGGCATCAAAACTTGACGTGTCGGAATGCAATTCAGCGTCCTCGTGCGGCGCCAACACCCTGTTGTGGTGCAAGGGCCCTGCCTTGGCTCCATTTGAATCCATTGTTGAGTTGTAGTTGGCGTGTGTCATTGACTGTGAACGGCTGAGGCGTTGTTGCAGTGGCATTAGCGGCTGGTTGGGAGACGCACTGACCAAGGGTGCGCGCTTGCTTTGGACCGCCGCGTTACTGTTTGTGTTGTTGGTTGCCTTGCGCTGTCTCTGAGGCGGGTGTGGGTTGCCGTATCCGTGTAGATTGGCCTTTTTGTTGAGCGCTGCGTCCCAGCCCTTGCCTCCATTGAGGTCCATCCAATCGTAATGGCCGTCTGCCTTCTCGTCAATGGAAATGAGCGCTTTGTCCATCAAGCCAAGCAAGTAATCGTAGTCGGGCTCCTCGTCAAATCTGAGGTTGCGCACGTACGTCAAGTATTGCGCAAACTGGATCGGGAACCCGTAGCAGAGCTCGTTGATGGAGGTGGTTTGCTTCTTGATGCCGATTTTCTCGTACTTCTGCTTGTTTGTGGGCGCCTTCAAGCCTTGCCAGGGCAAGTGGCCACGCAAAAAGTACATGAACACATGGCCAAGACTCTCCAAATCATCTCTGCGCAGCTGTTCGCGGCCTAGATGGGTGTTGATGGACATGTACCGCGCAGTGCCACTCAACGCCTTCTTCTCCTTGTATGGAATATGTGTTTTGGTCTTGGGATCGCGGTATTGTTTGGCCATGCCAAAGTCCACCACGTACACCATATTGGCCTGCGGCGTGCTAGGCTTACCAATGAGGAAGTTGTCGGGCTTTACGTCGCGGTAGATGAGGTTGTGCTCATGGATGGACTGCATCCTCTGGAGCATCTGCTTGGCAACCTGGGCCACGGTTTTCGTAGAAAACTTGCGCCCACACCAGTCAAAAAGATCCTCCAAAGACGGGCCCAAAAGATCGATGACCAAGATGTTGTGCACGCCCTCCTGACCAAAGAAATACGCCTTTGGCACGCCGGCGGCCTCGCTGAGAATGCGGTACGAGCGATACTCGTCCCTCAACTGGGGCGCCTCGCATTTTCTCGGCTCGAACTTGATGGCTATTTGCTGGTTGTTGAGGAGATTGATGCCCTCGAAAATTATGCCAAAAGAGCCCTCGCCGATTTTCTTGCCCACTTTGTAGTGGACGCCGACCCTGTGTTCGCCGCTGCTCTGAGCCATTTCCAATTTCAGGGTGTATTTGCGGATTGGGGGCGGGCACCTTCGGTTTCTGGGAAACTGAGGAGGAAAGTGCGGCAGTCAACCAAACTGAGGGTCCTAGCGAAACACGCAGGATGTGTCTGGAAATCCGCCGGTCTAAGTAAGGCTGATACTTGTTGCTTGTTCCCGGCACAAAGGGCGGAACAGAAGGAAGCACGTGAGGAACCGGGCGTCTATATGCCTATCTACAATATGGCTGGTTGCAAGCGGTTCTCGTCGCTTTATATGCTTCCGTGTCGCAGGCCTTGTTTCTGGCTGCGCAGCAAAAGGAGGGACTGTTGAAAGAGCGGGATGGAGGGGCAATGACGGAAACCCACGAGCTGCTTATAATCGTGAAAGACGCTCGGGTGTTGAGCAGACAGCTTTTGGAGATGCACGGCTGTATGTGCCTGGATTCCCCTGCAATATAAACTGCGTAACGTTTTCTTTGGATTCAGCTAGTAAATGGTATAGCTTTGGAGCAGCTTGTGCTTGTTTCTATTTTCCTCTCGTTCGAGACGCCCGACTCTGGACTTTGAGTGTCAGGGAGATAGTCATGCGGGGATGTACGGGTGTTTGGCTCGCTCTGCTGGTCGGCGACTTCCCCGCCATGCCGGCTCCACCAAACGCATAAGGACACCACACAAAAAGCGGGGCAGACTCAAGCTCTGCATCACGCCGTTGCAGCTCGGTATCAAGTCCGTTTCAGCCCTGCTTCACGTGTTCCAAAATGTCCAGCGTCTGTGCGGACGGGCAAAATCTGCGGGCCGCGTTTATTGGGATTGCTCGCACGATCAGACCATTCTCCCATACTTGTCTCGTGGGTTCCATAGTCCGCACAAATTTTTATTGAGACTAGCAAGACCGCCTATTTTAGACAAAGAAAATCTTTTACTCAAGGCCTGATATTTTAACCAGCAAGCTTTTGGAGCTTGTTGAGCCTGATATATAGTTGATCCACCTGCAGGACTGGATTCGATGAGTTCGGGAGCTCTTTCCACCGGAGAAGCGATCACTGGCAACATTCTCAGTACGTCGTTAAAAATGGGCCCCAAGCAAAGGTATTCCTAGGTTTTTGCTGTATAGCTTTCTTTTAAAGAAGTTGTTCTGCGTGTTTCCACTTCGATCATTGAGATATCGAGCGTCTTTCCCAGATAGTAACTGATAAGCCAATTTCCTGGGGATGCAATTCGCCATTCTCAACACGCCCTAAATTAACAAGAAACTCATTTCCACTCATAACCCTCTAAAAAGAAACAGGTCATAAGGGTCTGGAGTCTCGCACTTTTCGATCCGAAGCTGGCCCTAGTCAGAAACAGTTTTGCTCTTTATTACCTCGCTCAATCGAGAAGTGAGATGAGAAGAACTAAATTGCGTTCACAAGAAGTGAAGCCACACGGGTTGCACAAACCAAGTTCACAGGGGCCTATCTTTCCCAAGTGATGAAAACCAAGGGCGGTCTCCTTTTTTTTTTGTATTGTTTTCTAGATTGGTCGCACACGGATCTTGTCACATTACTCAGCTGGGCCCCAGTCGCACAGCTTGGCACGCCTTACTGTGGGGACTTGCGAAACCTTACTATTTCAAACTGACTGCTCCGTTTGCACTTCAAAACACTGTCTTCGCCCGAGCGACTGGTTGAATCGTATCTTTGGTTTAGCGAGTCATTTGTCGTGTCCCTGGATCTGGCATCTCATCAAACCACCACCTAGTCTCTGGCCACTAATTTGACACCAGCTTCCCAATGAACACTGACGGTTTTCTTCTGACGTGGTTCCTTGAATTGCCCTGGACTATTATCGGGGATGTGTGTCTGTATTTGGCCCCAGAGACGGTTTCCGAAACGCTCATAAAGGTGCCCAAGCTCCGAAACATCATCATCGACCAGTACTATAGCCAGGAACTCCATCTTATTCTTTCGCCCACGAAAAGACCACACTTCTGCTCGCTGGACCCGCAGCGAAAACTGCTCATTGACATTGTCACTTATGGAGAGATTGAGGATTTTCTTGTCGAAAACCCCGACATTTGCCCGCGCCTGTACAAGGTCATGACCAGTGGAGACTTTCGGTCCATGGAAATTCTTCTACGGGCTTTCCACGGCCAGTTGTCCCAAACGCCCGAGTTGGAAATCCACGTGGAAAACTACGAGCTCTTGCCGGAAGATGTGCAGCTCATTTTTTCGTTTCCTAACCTAACCAAGTTCCAGACCGCCAGGATCAAGCTTAGGCGGTGCTTGCCCGTGCTATCTGATTTGCTTCTGCAGCTGCAAAACTTAAGGCAGTTGGTTTTCTTGGGCCACGAGATCCGCAAATGGTCTAGAGTCCGCCTTCCCCCAAACTTGTCCCACTTGGACATGTCCTGGTACCCAGAAACAGACGTCACTTCGGTGGCCCTCCCGGACTCGCTCGTAAACCTATATTGGAACCAAGCGGGAATCGACAATGCGGTCTTTGCAAAGCTCACATATCCCCCACTAATAAAGACGTTGATGCTAACGTATTGCAGTTTGGCCAGTGTGAATGTGTCGCAGCTTCCACCCACCCTTGAAACCATCGATTTGTCGTACAACAATATCCGCAGTTTTCAGTTTGAGCCTCTGACGCCGCGGTGGCCGGCCAGTCTCAAATCAATCTTGCTAAATGCTAACTTGATCGACGATGCTTCCCTCAAGCAGCTCTCGCTCATAGAATGGCCAGAATTTCTCGAAAACTTGCGTCTTGATGAAAACAAGTTGACGTCTCTCGAGCACTTGTCTACGTTGCCCCAAGCACTCAAGTACTTGGACCTTTCGGACACTAAGCTCAAGAGTTTCCGCGTTCATCACAATGAAGACGACTACCCTTTCTTCCGGTTTCCTGAATCTTTGGACACTTTGAATTTCCAGGGCTGTCAAACCCTCACGTACGGAGAAGCATCGGCATATGGGGCAGTGCCTTTGGAACACCGGATTAAGTTTCCTGAAAACTTGGAATCGTTGAACCTCACTGAATGTAATGTTGGTCGATTGGCATACTTTTTATTCCCACGCTCGCTTCAAACTTTATCGTTGACCGGGAATCGCCTCCAAAACTTGACCACCTATAATCTTACTCGCGGGTCAACGGAGGTTGTCAGTTGGAAGCATTTGAATAATCTCCGCGAGTTGGAATTGTACTATAACAACATCGAGGGGTTGCAAGATTGGTGTCCCCCAAAATCCTTACGCAGAGTGGATTTACGCCGGAACAAAATCACCGTTCTCACTGGCGTCAGGACGCCGTTGTTTAGCAAAGAGTTTGACTTTGTCACCAACAACATACAAACGCTCAATTTCGAAGAGAATGAGATACGCACAATTGACCCCGCGCTATACTTACCACGCAATCTTATTTCTTTGAATCTCAGCAAAAACAAGCTTACTCAGTTTGTGTTTTCCAAATCTTTTGCAAACCATAAGAGTTTGGTAAGACTAGACTTGGCCTCCAATGCGATCGAGAAAGTCTCTGTTGACCTGCCCGAGAAGAGCTACGCGTCTCACCTTAAACAATTCAATCTCTCTAGAAATGCATGCACAAATTTCCAGATGTCTACGGAAGATTTCTATGACGTCTTCCAGCAGATAGGCCTAGTGGTAACAAAGAAAAAACACAATATGAAAAGCGAGCATACGTTTCGATAGGAGAATTAAAAATTGAGCATGAATGCCGCGGTGAGTATTTGCCGCTAATCAGCATCGACTGTCGGTGCTCTCGCTTGGTGCATCGACGCGCATCAGCGCATCAAAAATCCGAAATAGCCGAAATCGTGCAGATATCAACGGTTCTTTTTTTCGAAAAAATCAAATTCCTAAGCTAGGCCGGGACACAGAAAATACGGTAGCGTTCACAAGAAGATTGTTTGTAGTGAATTGATTCAAACCCAGACAAGACAGTCAGCCAGACTCCTCATACTGAGCACAACTTTTCGACTCAGCAGAGCAGAGAAAGAACGTCACCCCAAATATGGTGGGCGGGCCACAGAATTTTATCCCAGGCTCGAAAGTCTTGGCATACCATGGTCCTCTAGTTTACGAGGCGAAGGTCCTAAAGTATCACAAGGAAGGACTGGAGCTCGTGGATGTAGAGGAAGAAAAAAGCGAGCCACTTGACAAAAACAAGATCCCTGGGTTCCTTCTTGATAAGAACGCCTATTTTTTGCACTACAAAGGATGGAACCCTAAGTGGGACGAGTGGGTCTCGTCGGAGAGAATCATTGAGTTTAACGACGACAACTTAGGACTTTCCAGGGAGCTTCGGAATGCAAGAAAGAAGACGGTAGAAAGACTCGACTCGGGAAAAGAGGCGAAGGCCGAAGCCGCAGAGCAAAAAAGCCGACGTGGGCGCAGAAAAAACGCCCCTACGGAAGCATCTACGAACCACTCGGGGCCTTCCAAGGATCAGTCCAAGCCTAACAGCAATGGGAGAAAAAGGCAGAAAACAGAGCCACATGCAGGCTACGAGGTGATGCTACCTTTTAGCCCCAGGCTTAAGTGTGTGATGGTCGATGACTGGGAGTTGATTACAAAGGACCGCAAGTTGGTCAATCTCGAGACAGTAACACCTGTGCTGACGATTCTTAAAGAGTACTACGAGTGGAAGCGAGCTGGACAGAGCATAGAACTCACACGAACAACGGAAGAAGCGTTGAGTGGCTTGAAAATCTTGTTCGACCAGACCTTTGGCTTGGATCTTCTATACAAATTCGAGAGGCTCCAATACAGCGAGCTCTTCCGGACCAGAAAGAACTTTGAACCGTCTAATGTTTATGGTTGTGAGCACTTGCTACGACTAATTATCACGCTCCCTGGCCGTGTTTCCCAGACCGTCATGGACGCCATGAGTGTCAACATCATGATGGGACAAATGAGTGACCTCCTCGAATACATCGACGCGAACATGGCTACCCTCGGCAGCTCCTACATGAACGTCAGCTCGCAGTATGACCGCGTGGCTAGAATGTGACAGGGATATTCTTTTCATGGACTTCGTATATTGGTGGTACATCAAACATTTAAACATAATCATAAGGGACAGCGGACGAGAGGCCGCTCAAGCTGCGAAAGGCCCGGCAGTCACGGCTACATAATGGGGATGGCCATGTAATCGACCTCAACCAATGGATTCTCGTTGTTGCACTTCACTTGCAACTCCAACTTCCAGTGGCGGTTGTACATATCGTTTTCCTCCTTGGCAAACCCGTGGTCGCCTTCGTCCTGGAATTTCCAGGTGATTGTCTTGGGAGTCTCCTCCATCACTCCTTTGCCGAAATCCATTTGGAACCCTGAACACTTTTCCATGTCCACCATCAAGTGACGCTTGATGTGGTGCTGGAGGTTTCTCCTGAACTTCCGCGAGTTTTTGTTCATGGTCGGCTTGATCTTGTCCATGTTTTCGTGGCACTCCTTCATGACAAAGGGTGGGTAATAAGTCAAGTGAGCGTGGCAGTAGTCGAAATCGTTGTCCCAGGTCTCGTCTCTAATATACGATTCAAACGCGACGATGTCGTCGAAGTCTTTTTTGGGTGGGGCCTTCAACACCTCCGCAATTGAGCCGTCCTCGCTCTCCATGGAGGTGATGGAAGAGGACCGCGATTTGGGCACTGGCTTGAGATGCTCGAGCCGTTCCATGTTGTCCAAGTCCAACATGATCTTTTGCGACTTCTTAGATTTCGTCATATTTTCTGCGTGTTTCTGACTCTTGTGGAAATGATGAAGTGAATTGCTAAAAGGGTTGAGCAGCTTTATGAAACGTCTACACTTTAATTTGGTTTTTGTTTGCTTTCGTTACTGGATTTCTTGGATGGGTGCAAATTGTTCCGGGGCCCAAGATGCGGACCTTTTATATAGGGCCGGGCGCACGCCTTGCTCCCGGGTGCGGGTGCACTTGCATGAGCCCTAATACGGTCTCTCCACTTTTGAGCCAAGATACAGTCGGGCTTGCTTTTTCGTTTCCATTTTGGACCACGGAGTCAATGGGGATATTAGGACAGAAAGGGGTCGAGGATAAACAACGGGACGTAGGAATCAAGCATGGATTCAATGCATTGTTTCAGCAGTCGCCTGCCTAGTCTTGTCTCCTTTTGAGGCTGCTTCAAACACATCTGCCTAGACTGTTCTCAGAAAACAGAGGACAAAAGAAGCAAATACACGAACTTGGGGTGACTCTTGGATGGATGTACGAGATGTTTACCCAGAGGCAAGCCGGGCAGAGCAAGGAAAGAAACATAACACGAACTCAATACATAATTATCATACCACCCGACGCCGTAGACTCTTCGTGGTCTGACTACACTGTGAGTATACCTGAATTCTGAGGTTGGGCAGCCTAAGCCCCCGCCATAATCCGGCTCGCTTTGAAGCAAGGATAAAGCGTCACGCAATAAACTAGTCTATGTGCACTGCGTCACCTCACAGATAGAGAGCATTTAATTTGCATGCTTCTTTTCAGTGAAATCATGTGATGGGGGCCGCTGAGTTGCAGACGTGTTTTTGCTATTCGGCTGGAATCACGGTTTGCGTAAATGGTCTTATTTGGCATTTCGGAAAGTTTCTGACATAACTGTTAGCGGAAGGCTCGTAGGAGCATATGCGACTACGCCGCGCACCGTGATTCAAAACCACTCTGAATAAAACATATCTCTTGCTATCCGCGTGAGCTGCGGTGGCACACGAGATAATCGCAAGACGAAAGATAAAGATGAGAGGAAAACTTGAAAAATTCAAATTCCAAAATAACAAAACACCTATCTACCAAAATCGTTAATTGCTCATTTGGACGGATTCGGGGATGCCAGCCCCAAACGCAAATGAGGAGAAGGAATCTGGCCGCGCACCTTCGTCCTGTCCATACCATCGATAAGAATACGCGGGTTCCAGAATCAGATCACCCCACAATAGTCTTTTCTATTGTGCCATGTACGGGGTACGCTGAAGTTGCTTCGGCCAAGTAAATGCCATTCCGGGTATTTTGAAATATCGATATTTAAACCAAGAGCCTCTGTGGGCTCTAGTGGTACTTGTCTCTCTCATTCATAGTGATCTTCCTGTCTTTTGCAAACACCATATCAAAGTAGCTACTTGTTGGTAGAGTGGCAACAAGTCTCTGGGGCCATGTATGTGCAGGCGCCATATTTGAAGCAGTGCTCGTGGAGAGCAGTGGGAAGCAAATCAGGGCTGCTTTGCTGCGGAGTCAATCTGGATCGAAAGCTTATTCGCTGGTTTTCTTCTGCAATGCGTCCCAGCATAAGTGCAACTTGATCTCTGCAATCGGAAATGTGGTACCTGCAGTAGCCGATTTCCCAGTTTTCGAGGTATACGCCAAACAGAAGCGGACTCGATCTTGAGTAAAATCTTTCTTGGTATCCTGAAATCACCTTCCTGGATAGATAGCACGGGCGCCATGCTACAGCTTGTGTTTGCGGTTGATTGTCTGGTGCCCGAGTCCGTGCGCATCCTTGCTAAACCCCTGGTGAATATTGACACACCGAAATGTTTCGTCTTTTCACCGAGTGATTCCGAGCCAGTCGAAAACACTGCCCGATAGGCTGAGTGGTGCACATTGTACCAAACTTTGCGATGTTTGGGCCCTTCATTCAAGCCTAAATACTTTGGACTGAGTTCTTTCTAAGGCACAGCAGAGACAACAAACTGGGGCTACCGGACAATGATAGCAAATATGCCATTTCTCGTATATTTCCAGTCCTTTTTTGTGTGAAAGACCGCTATTCGGCGCGCAGGTACTTGGCCATTCACGATCTGATGCCCCATTAATAGGTGCGACTCCAGCTGACATACTAAACCTTCACCCAGCGTGTTTTGAAATGCCTTCGAATCAATAAAAAACACTATTCGATTGAACGGCGGGCGGTTCTTTTTCTCGAGTGGCACACAGCGCAATTTTGACCCCTTGCTGCTGCCTGTGGCTTTTGGGGTGGACTCTTCTCCCATGACCTGCGCATTGGCTATTTTTCGCCTCGTAGCTCTCTATCAAATCCCATCTCAACACCAGCACGTTATAGTTAACCACACTGCAGAGGCCTGCTTTATTTATCCAGATAGCCCCCACTTCTACTGCTATCATTAGAAACACCCAGATCCTCATTTAAAAACACCCGGACCTTCCCATAGAAAAAACAGCCATGGTTTTCGGAGTCTACACAGGTCCGCAGGAGCCAGAGAAGCCTCTTGCGTTGATGACCCAGGAAGAGCAGGCGGAAATGGGCGCTAAGAAGATGGTCGAAGCCATGCAGTCGTGCCCGGGCAAAACCGTGATGGCTGGTGGCTCCGGGTTCTTTTTGGGTGGATTTTTCGGCTTGTTCATGGCGTCGATGGCCTACGATGTTCCCGTTGGAGGCAGCGGGGCAGGCCATATTTCCGAGCTTCCTTTCAAACAGCAGATGAAGCTCCAGTTTTCGGACATGGCGAAGAGGTCGTACTCGAGTGCCAAGAACTTCGGGTACATTGGCATGATTTTCTCTGGCGTGGAGTGTTCCATCGAAAGTTTACGTGCCAAACACGATATCTACAATGGAGTCAGCGCCGGGTGCATCACGGGGGCGGGGCTCTCTATTAAGGCCGGGCCACAGGCGGCCTTGTTGGGCTGTGCTGGCTTTGCTGCCTTTTCCACGGCGATCGACCTTTATATGAATTCCGAGCACGCGGCCCCACCAAGAAACGACTACGACGATTAAGCAGGGGCCGTGCTCCATGCCACCGCTGCAGATGCCCTGTATATATGTATTATAGTACAATGAATGGTTCCAATTAAGAGTTCCATGTTTCCAGGTAGTGTAGTACAATGGTTCCGACTGGTATAGCTCCATGGTTCCAATTAAGAGTTCCATGGATTCAGGTAGTGTAGTTCAATGGTTCCGACTGGTATAGTTCAATGGTCCCAAATAGCATAGTTCAATGATGCCAATCATTATAGTTCAATGGATCCAACTATTGTCGTTCAATAGTTCCATTGAGTATAGTTCAGCAGATGATCCCAAATTGTCACAATTCAACGAGTGGTTCCAAACATCACAGTTCGACGGATGGTTCAAAGTAACAGGCTGGATGCCTGGGGAAGGAGTGCGATCTCCCGGCTGAAAGGGTCTAATATGACAGTGATATACTGACCCGCTGGTCAGCAGAAATAGTAGCAATATTCGTAGGAGAACTGCCCCGCCACAAAGGAGGCCAGTAGCAAGAGCAAAAAAGCCAAGAGCCAGAGACCGGCCTTCCATTTTGAGTTTACACCCTGGTGCGATCGTAGACCCTTGTTCTGCTTCTGGATCCGCTCGAGCTCATGCACAATACTCTCCTGCTGCTTCTGCTCGATGATTTGCTGTAGAGACGCAGAGACATTTGCAAACTTTCTGTGGTCCGCGTCTAGGGCGTCCTTGCTGTCGTACATGGATTTGAGCAAGTCAAGCTGTTGTTGTAGTTCGTCCAAAACAGACGGGGTCTTCACGGATTGCTCGATGTCCTCTTCTATTTCTGTCTCTGGGTGTGATCCCGTCGAGAACGAGCCGCGGTCCCGCCTCCAGATCGGTAGGGGGACGTGTTCGTCGAGATTTGGGCCATTGAATTCTTCGTTCCGCAGTCCCAGAAGCTCTCTGCGCTCGGACACTCGCCGTTTTCGTATACGGCCATACGCTAGAGGCTGTGGCACTGGCGGCGAGTCTTCAAAAGACCGCTCGCTTTTGATTGTGTGGGGATTGGCTTGGTAAGGAAGCGGCAAAGGCTCGCCTAGCTGGGCCAAGATGTCGGTGGACTTTCGCTTGCGATTCATATCATTTCTATTAGGCGGCTTATGTAACGGGCGTTTGGTTACGAGACGCGGGTTTCAGTAGCAGATTGTATTATGTATTTTGTGTGGCGGGCGGGCCGGTGGTGAAGGGTTGCAGAGATGGCAGCTTTGCTAGAGAAGGCAGCTTCGCTATTCGGGTCCAGCTGGTGTTTACATTTCCACTGCGTATTTTCGTCTCAGCGCGCGGGCACGGGCCTGCGTGCAGGCAAAACTCACTTTAGCAGCACCAGCTGCAGCACTAGCTGCATCGTTCGCAGCCACGCGAGTTCCGCAGCGCCTATTCTCTCCACAAGGTTCACGATTTGGAACGCGATCTAAAGACCCTGCTGACAGATCTCTTCAACAAGTAGGTCATGCACCCGACAAAGCGGAACAAGGCCATGAACGCCACTGTCCAGAGAATCACTGTAAGGAAGATTTCCGACCGGGTCGAGTCGCTGCTCGAGTAGTCCGAGTCAAGCTGATTGAAACCCCCGGTTTCCAACACTAATGCCACAATCACAAAGTTGGAGATCATCCACACGAGCACAGTCATGGAGCGGATGAACGCATAGTAGTCCTCGTTGGACGAGCCGGAGTCTCCGCCGCTGTCTTCCTGTGGCTGTTTGATCTTCTCTAACTGGTTGAGGTACGACTCGTTGATTTCCTCCTTCGACACGGGGATGTTGACGTCGAAAGTTCCGTCCTCGCGGACCTTGGCCGCGCCCAAGTCCGTGGCCCCCGTATCTCCCTTGGTGCCCCACGACACATCATCGATGTTGCAGAACGCGTATATGTTCAACACGTTCACATAGGCGGGCGAGAGCAAGAGGTACTGGATGAACGACGTGAACATGTGCCACGGCTCCAAGTAAAGGAAGGACGCCACGAAGTAGAGCAAGTACGTCGAGGACGTGGCCACCACCAAGTCGCGGAACTGGGAGTTTTCGAAGAAGAGCGACACGGTGATTTGCGTGCCGCTGTCGTAGATGGTTTGGATCGCATACACGGCCATGTAGATGGCGGCGAAGATCATGTACACCATCAATATGGCGAAGAAGAGCACAATCACAATGTAGAACTTCTCCGTGCCCTTGGGCTTGTTGCCGAAGCTCAACACAAACGTCGTGACGATGGACGCCAAGTAGAGCCAGAGGAAAATCACCGAGAGCACGTTGCCCGGGGCAAAGTTGAGGTCCGACGAGCTGAGCGACGTCGTCAAGATGCGGAACACGAGGAAGTACGAGCCGATGGAAAACCACGACACCACCAAATTGATGAACTGGTAGATGAACTCGATGTGGAGGAACAACTTGCGCAAAATACTATGCGACGATCTCCACACCTTGGGGAAATGCACCAACGAGTAGATGGCCGCAAAGAAGGAGCCGTTCAACCATCTTCTTCGCTGCAAGATAAACTCCGCGAGGCCCTCGGGTACGTCGGTCTCGGCACTGGCGGACTTGCAGTAGCGGAGGACCCATGAACAGCCTCGTTTTGCCACCAACTCGTAGCACAAGATCCGGTCCTCGGCAAGATACATGTTGGACGTGAAAATCCCGGCCTCGTCCTTGAGCAAGTTGCGCTTGAGTTCGTACTCGTCGTCCTCGGGGTCGAGCTCCTCGCTGCCATGCAAAAACTCGCCTTTGAAGTACTTTTCGAGCGGGCCTCTGCCGTTGATGTCGTTTTGGAGCGCCACGTACCGGTAGGCCGAGAACGCGCCGGGGAGCACGGAAATGAAGCCGAACACGGATTCGGTCGGCTTGTCCAAGATGTTGGAGATCTTGTACTCGAAGTTTTGCCCGTAGACAAGCGGGTTGGTGAGCATCTGTCTTTTCTTCAACGACGCCTTGATCTCGCCACATGCGCCTGCCACCTGCGGGTCCGAGTCGAACTCTTTCCACAAATGATACAACGACTTGCCGGACGGCTGCGTGCCGCAGTCGAGGAGAATCACCACGTTGGGCTCCAAGACCTGCGAAAGCGCCTCGAAGCACCATCGGTGCGAGTTGATTTTCTTCTTGTTTTCTTCCTTGAGACAGAAGAGCATCTGCACCGGCACGGCCTTCTCGGTGGTGAGCTTCACGGTATCTTCGACGGACGAAATGCCCACTCTCGTGGTGTACTCGTACAAGTGGGCCTTGACTTTCTTGTCGTCGATTCTCGACTTGGCCAAGCCTTCCTGGTACACCCCCAAGGCCGCCAACAACGCCTGCGCCCGCTCGTTGATTTTGGACCGGCCGTCACTGACCACGTACACCACGATCTTCTTCCACGAGTCCTTGCCCCACACGGGCGACCGCGTCCTCGACTCGAAATGCTTGATGTTTTTGAACACGCCCTTGAGCGTGCGGGCCAAAAGAATGTCGTCCTCGTTGTACATGGTCACCACGATCATAAGCTCCGTCTGCCGCCGCACCGGGTAATGGATGGGTCGCAAGATGTAGCCGTCGCGCCAGAAGTTGGACGGCCCGCACGTCACCGCAGTGTACCGCATATACGAGAACTCTCTGCTGAGCCCGCCATCTTTGGCCGCGGCTTGGTAGTCGGGGAATTTCGTGAGCAACTCAGTCGCCACAGGACAGTCCAACACCAAGTGGCCATTGTGGCCGGCCGCAATTCCGGCTCGCGGCTTTTCTCTTACTTCTTCTTCTTCGGGAGGCACAGGAAGAGGGTCGAAGGGCGATTGCGGCTCGTCCTGGTCATAGATCAAATCTGCAACGGGCTCGTCCGGTATGTGGATGGCCTGCAAGTCGAAGTGGTCTCCTTGGAATTCGTTGTAGCGGATGTCACGGTCGAACTCACGCTCCTCCTCGTCGAGCTCGTAAGCATGCGGGACGAACGCCTGCTCAAAGCCATGGCCCGCGCCGTCAAACGCCGGCTGGGAAAGGTGCGGTGGGGCATGTGCGTAGTCCGACATCTCGTAATCCGCTCCAAACGGATTGGGGTTGGGCCGGTCGTAGTTGTGCAGGGGCTCTGGGTAGTTTTGCACTGGATTGAAGATTTCCGAGGGCCGGGTCCCTTCATAGTACGCCAAGAAATTGTCGTTCAGCTGTTCTGCTTCTCCCGTTAGATACGAAGGTGGCTGCAGCTGGAAGACGACCAGGCTGCTGCTTCTGCTTCGGGCCGGCGAGTAGTTGTAGACCCCGTCCGTCTGGTCAGGCTCGTTCATCTGGTACGAGTCCTGGTACATGGGGTTTCCGTTAGGGCGATGGTACATTTTTGGCGGAAACGTTTGGACACAGGTTATAATATGCTCTTCCGAGAAAAGACACTGTAGCTCTATCTGCCTGAATTGAGCGGATTATGGGCAATTTCTGGTGGAAAGGGCAACAATAGCGGGGCCTGAGCGGTGCCGGATTTCAGTCGCGTGTCGAGAATGTGATCTAACAAAGGTAGTTGATGCGAGTAGTCTGTTTGCAAGATGTCGGATGCTTCTCTACTAATTAGTGAGGCCAAGCTTCTAATGTGTTGTACTTAGCTGTTTCCCCTGACCCTGAGTTAACTCTAATTTCGGAGCACGATCTGAGTTGTGAAGCGCAGTCCGAATGGGGAACTATCCACTTATGAAGTGATGCGGGCCACGCGTGCATGCGCGCAAAATGAAACCAAGCACGGGTGAAACACAGCCTTGGGCTTAGGCATTGCCAATGTGAATAGCCAGTCACGATTTTGGAGGCCCAGCATTAGTCTACACCATATACTTTGCAGATCTCTATAAAAAAAGATCGAACTGCCACACTTGGAAACAGACTAAAGCCAGTGTGCTTGGAACGAACACCTAAAATGTGAGGTTGTATGCGCGTTGCAGAGGTCCACAAGGACTTATTGTTCCCCATAACACGCAGGTTTTGGACAGAACCCTTCGATTATGATTTCCAGAAATCTGTGAATAAACAGTGGCTCTATTTCTAATTTGATTACAATGATGAACCTTGGACTTGGCTCTCCAACTCTACAGTTGCACCGCAGGTACAGCCCGATGCATGCATGCAGGTGGTCTTAATTTAGATGGGGCACGTGACCGGGACATGTGCCGGCACCTGGCTGAACGCGTGAATGCATAAAGGCGTGACCGTTGGAGTTACCCGGTCACCTCAGCTATGCGGCTGGTTTGTGATTTTCAAGGACTCATTTGGGCAATGTGAATGTGTTCGAAACGAATCTGAGGTCGACATCCATTCTGTATGAGCCGCTTCGGAAATGCGTATCGCATCATTTGGATCCAAGAAAGCTTCTTCTTCCAAGTGAGAGTGACCATTACATTGTAGCGATGAGTCGGGCATCACTGCAAATCCACATTTTACCAAACTAAATGATTTAATCAGGGCAATATCTGACATTATTCTTCTTATTCTTCCATCACCTTTCATACGATTTCTCTCCTCCCTGAGATGCAGCCAACTCGTGTCTGTTATACATGTATGTATCTCCTGTACAGTGCTCTCGAATAGTCCCACCACTGGCCGGTCATAAACACCAGCCTGCAACTATGGTGAAAGGGTCAGTTTCTAAAATCAATATCATAAAATGAATCTGAAATTTGCGCCTTTCCGCCGAGTGAAGAAAATGTCGCGATTAGTCTTCTTATTCGATATACAGACCTTGACCGTTGGTTCGGAGACAGGCTTCCGCGTTGACAGTTCGGAGTTTGCAGGTGGAAGCCGGAACTAAAAACGCCGTATCAAATAGCACTACAGATTTTCACCGCACCCAAGCATCACTCGATTCTAAAATGATGCAAAATGTCACCATTTTGATAGAAGGTCCCAAAATGGTGATATTCTTGGAGGGCTTGCAGCCCGCTCTGGCTGTTATCTTTGATCTTAATCTGTCAAAGGTGCATGAGCGCGGCGATGACATCGCGCATCGGCATCTCCGCGGCCCGGCCATCGCAGATGATTATTAAAAGCGAAATCTTTAATGCTTCGCACACCGACGGGGAATTCTCTTTTTTAAACTTTCACCTGGAGTAAGCTTCTTGCCCACATTTCGAATTGGCACAATACTTAAACAAAAATCACGAAATGGCCTCGCACGCTTGCACGAACGAATTCAAGCAGTTCCTCACCGACTTGCCCAAATGTGAGCACCATCTCCATCTCGAAGGCACTTTGGAGCCTTCTCTTTTGTTTGCTTTGGCCAAGAGAAATAACATCACATTGCCAGAATTGTTCCCAGCTACTCCCGACGCTTGCATCGACAGGTACGCCAATTTCGCCGACTTGCAGGACTTCTTGGACCACTACTACATAGGTATGAGCGTGTTGATCAAAGAGGAAGACTTCTACGACTTGGCCATGGACTACTTTGCACGTGCCCACAAAGACGGATGCTTGCACTCCGAAGTTTTCTTTGACCCCCAGGGCCATGTCGAAAGGGGCATCAGCATCGACGTCGTTGTGCAAGGTTTTGACAGAGCATGCAAGGCTGCCACCGCCAAATACGGCACCACCAATAAGTTGATCATGTGCTTATTGAGGCACTTGCCTGCCGCGGATGGGCTCCAGACCCTCGACTCTGCGGCACTGTACTTTGAAAATGGAACCATCCATGGCATGGGTCTTGATTCCGCGGAGAAACCTTTTCCTCCAGAGTTGTTCACGGAATGTTACAGCACACTCAAATTCCGCTTTCCAAACGTTGGTTTGACTGCACATGCCGGAGAAGAGGGCGACCACACATACGTGTCTAACTCGTTGGACTTGCTCAAAGTGACGCGTATTGACCATGGCGTAAACTCGTGCCAGGACGAGGCTGTGATGGCGCGTTTGACAGAGACCCAGACAATGTTGTCTATGTGCCCTTTGTCCAATGTCAAGTTGCAGGTCGTCAAGGATGTTTCTGAGTTGCCAATCAAGGTGTTCTTGGACAACAACATCTCCTTTTCGATCAACTCCGACGACCCCGCATACTTTGGTGGATATATTTTGGACAACTACATTGCAGTCCATACGAGGTTCGGGTTCACCCGAGACCAGTGGTGCCAGATTGTGGCAAACGGTATTTCTGGCTCGTGGTGTGACGAACAAAGAAAGGCTGAGTTGAGGGCCAACCTCGAAGCTGTCAGGACCAAATATGCTCATTTGAGTTAGCATGGCCTCAGTAACGATAAATCTACATTGGAGCTTTCAGTGTCTTCTTTTTACGTGAGGCAAATAGATTCGATGCATGCCTTCTTTTGTGAGTTTAATGAACTAATTGCATCCCTTTTTGGGGAAATTCAATACTTGGGAGACAAATGCCTCTCATAAAAATGTCGACCGTTGGCACGTATTGCGATGTGTCATACCATAGCCAATTAGAATAAGGGTTTTGTTGATCTGGGTATTTTGCGTGTGCCTCAGCTCAGCTACGTTTGAAAGAATCAATTTTCCATCTCCATGTCATGGAGGCTGATCCTTGAGCCAGGCTGATTTCAAATACTGCGTTTTCTTGCAAGTTACTCACAAACTTGTGGTCAAATATACGGCAATCACATCAGTTTTATCTCAATTAAATGTAAGACGCGCGAAGTAGAGCAGAAATATTTACGAATCTGGTGTCGTTTTTTTTGACTTTTCTCGCTGGGTTCTCCTGAATAAAGGAGCAAACGTTTAAGCATTAAAAGGATTTAAGCAGACGAAACAAATGTAAAACTAAGCCCGTCCGCTTCTCTCAATCGGGGCTTGAACAGTCCTCTTGTCTATATCTGTTTACGGTTTTTGGATATCACATCATTGGCTCCCGGTCCAATTCTTCTGTAGTAGTCGCTTCAACTTAAATGGTTAAAGAAGACTTCAGAAGCTCACTTCTTGTGACCCGCCACGTTTTTATTTTTCTGTTGGAATTGGAACAGCTCTCCGCTTCACTTAAATCAACCCCCCTGTGCCGTCTAAATATTATCTGCAGTTATTCTATTCGTCCACGTTGAAATGTTCTAAACTCAGCTCTTGATACGGACATATTGCTTCACTCAGATTCAGCCATCCCTTGTTATTGTTTTATTCAAATCGCTGTTGTGGAGGCTCAGCTGAATGTTTTGGATATTTAGAGATTTTGTCAAGTGTTGACTCGCGTGACAGAGTTGTGCCACTGTTGGAAAAATGATAATTACTACATAATTCGCGAATTAGTGGTAGAACGGGTGGATTTCTGTTTTGGCAACAATTGAATGAGATCGTGTGGTATTAGATGTATACTCGATGAGCGCAGCTTAACTTTAGGCACAGTCTCTAAATTAAATAGTCTATTTGGTGGTTATTTGAAAAGTACGTCAAAGTGTCAAAGTTTCAAGACGTGATAATGTTGATTGAGTAACATTGAATTTACTGATACTTCAGTCTGGCGGATAATCATTAGCTGGCAGTGTGTGACTAGTCCATGAGGACTCCATATCGGCGAACTCGACTTTGGGGTGGTGCATAAATCAGTAGGGCCGATAAAAGACAGTATCGTTTTCGCTAGCTAATTCCAGGTAATCTATGAGGTAGAGTTTACAAGTTGTCGTAATGATCAAAAATGGTGCCTTGATGCGTGGCCAAATTCTCAGCAGGTATTTTTTTGGACTGGCACCATTCTCTTGTTTCTCAATCCATGCTATGGCTTCAATCTTCGGACTGAATAATCCTTATCAAATATAAAGCACATAGCTCATGTTCACGTGACCTGGCTTATCAGTCGATACAAGAGGCTCCAGAAGTTCCACTCATATCGGGTCTAGGTTGTCTCTTTCGGTGACTGGTATATTTCACCAACAAGTTCGAGCCCCGGCGGTGATTTAGTTGTACTTACCTTATACATCGTTGGAGATTGTCCGGGCTAAATTTTTTTTAAAAGAAACATATGTATTGAAGGATATCACTGACCACAAATAATAGTATTAAGTTGTCTCTGGGTTTCAAATGTTGTTTGAGAGTCATTGAGCTGAGCTTCCAGAAACTTTTGACGGTAATCTGAATTTTACGCTTGGTTTTCTTATTATTCCATGACTCAACAGAACACATCAGAGGCTCTGTGGCCGAGCGGTCTAAGGCGGCAGACTCAAGTTCTGTTATCGTAAGATGCGCGTGTTCGAATCACGCCGGAGTCAATATTTTTGTCTTTAATCAAGTTGCATTTGCGCCATACATCTACATGATTCTTGTTTCGGGGTCTCCGGGTAGGTAATTTAAGTGCAATCGCCATGGAATCGCATAGTCGCGTAAGAATGTGCCTTCCATGGTGGTCTTGCATATTTCCCCAGGCACAATGTAATCATGCGCATTACTCCGCAAAGCAAGAGAAGTCAAAGGGGCAATCCTTCTCCAGCCTGTGGTTCAAACAATTTATCTCACCACTTTTTCTGAGGACATCCGCGAAAATCCATTGAGAACAACAAATTGGTAATCAGTGTCAGAGAAGATATCTCAAGTATTGACCGAAAAAGTTGCCACGCAACAGACCTCCCCGATGGAAATGACAAGAGGCCCCAAGTTGGCGGCACTTATCTTTACGGCCATAGTCGCTGTGTTTTTGCTCGTGAGCCGCAGCGGCGGAACAAGGTATGATGCTCTTAATATGACTCTGCTCCACTTGGAGGACGGGTATATCCTATATTTCCAGCCCGACCCCAAGTATACGGGTCCTGAGGCCAGCGTAGAAACTTTGAGCAAATTCGCCGACGAATACACGTCAATAGTTGAGCGGATGCTTGACGGCCTTGTTCTTCAAAAGTTCGACACGCTCATGTACGGCTTCAGCTTTCGGTTGGAACACACAAAGAAAGTGCAAGAGGCTATTGGTTCTGAAAGCGTGCCGCAAGACGTGGTGGGAACCACAGATGACCGGCTCTTCAGGTATTTGAACCTACTCAAGGCAAAAGACATGACACGATATGGGGTCATGATGAAGTTGGAACGGGACAAAACATTGAACACGCAGGGTGAAGCGGGCAGCGCTTAGGCGTGTTTATTGGGTTTGTAAGTTTCAAGCACCTTGTTATATGAGGGATGTATGAGATTAATACAGGTGCGCCGGAAAGTGGGGCATGTGCTGAGATGTAGTACTAGAGATGTGTTGTGATTGAGTGAGCCTGCTTCCCGTACTGAAACAGCCACCTGAATACGATACTACAAAGTGACGAATATATGAGATGTGCAGAGTGACGACTGAGATGTGCTGTAAGAAGTAGTCCGACTTGATTGTGAAACGCTGCGCCTATTGAGAGGGATGTCATAGCAGATCCCAGAAACTAGGTCCTGAAATGAGGTCTCTGAGTACGATGGGAGCAGATCATGGCGGCTCGTACGGTACATCTAGGGATGTTGAGAGATAGCCCAAACTTGGAATTGGACTGCTACCATAATTTTCACAAAAGGCATCATTGATCTCACACCGTAGTGTTGCGAGTTCTACTGTGGCCCTTTGAGCTAGTAACAGATGATGGACATTGCAGCTTAGCAAAGCCAGATGAAATCATTCTTAGGTACGAGGTCGTCGTAGATTTATCATCGCCGTACTACACATCATACAAACGTCATCGGGTATTCTTATGAAGCACGACACAAGATGGAAACAGTCACAGAATCGTCACCATAAATATATGTTGAAGCAATTCGAGAGATGTATATTGAAGAGATGAAGACTAGAAGCCTCGCGTGGCAGGAAGAGTGGCACAACAGCCCGCTGCATCTGATATCACCAGCTCTCCAATGACGGGCAGAGCCCCGCACGGAAAGAAAAACTAATCGGAGCAGGCCCTTGTGAAAACCCATCATCTGCTGCGCTCTAACAGAACGGCTGCAGGCCAGCACGAAGAGACGGCCTCGTGGTAGAGAATAAGAATTTGAGAGTATTTGGGAAACAAGCGTAGAGAAAGGTATAAAGAAAAGGACCCTAGACCATGGGCAGGGCGTGTTCAACAACGAGGCACGTCGGAGAAGTCGATCTGCGAAAGATCAATCTGACCAAACGTGTTCTCGCCAGAGTACAACACGTACAAAAAGCCGTCCTCATCTTTGTGTTCCTCGTAGATACTGCTCATCAACGCCGCGGTGGGCGGCAAGATGTCGTTCACAAAAATGAAGATGGCCTTTTCTGAAGGCAACTTGATGCGTTTCCTGATCACGTAGACAAACTGGCCCACAGTCAAGTCGCCGGGCACCAAGTACTTTCGCTTGTCTATTTCCTGGATGTCGGAATTCTCGACTTTTTCGCAAATCACAGGGAGCCTGTCTTTGAACCTCTGCAAGATTCTGGCCGACTCCGAGCTTCGTTTCTCTGGGAGCAAGTTAGTCATCCATGTTTTGGCGGGTGCGGCATCGATTTTTGTTGACAAAAAAAAACCGATACAGAGAGAGGCATGATAAGACAGCAGAAACTTGTCTTTGGTGGGCAAGGTTTGCTCAGTGTGGGTGGCGGGCCAAAGCACCTAAACATCGAGATTTAAGTATACATACCAAGCGAGTTTTCGTCTTTGAATTGTGATCTCATGATTTCCGTAAAGCTGGGAGTTAGTAAGGAGGGCGAATTGGTGACTATGTGTTTCTGGGCTTGTGGAGAGGGTTTTCTCCTGTATTCTGATGTGTTCTGTTGCGGTGGAAATGGAGCTTATCGCTGGTGAGATAAGGCCCTGCGTGGCCCACAAACAAAAATACCCCAAACGACTGGTATTTTTTTTTTTTGGATCGGGCTGGGCGAACAAGCAGCAGTGTTTGTTGGCCGTGCTGAGATATACGTACTTTTTTAGAGGTTCTGGGGGGTGTTGGTGGTATAGATGCTGACGTTGTGGGGTGTGGGGGTGTGTTTTCTATCTGGCTTAGCTCCGTGGATTAAGCGGTCCGTATATGTGGGCTGGTTGAGTGTCATCCCTTAGTGGGGAGGCGATATTGGGGACTGCATGCAGACCCGGGGGCAAGCGGAGGGCCGCGGCCATGTGCTGGAGACAGGGAGTGAGTATCAACGAAGTTTTGTTCTTTTCAAAGCAAATTTGTGGTTTGATGACAGGCTGGTCTAGGTAGATGTGTGTTTTGCCATACGGTGTGCTTACCGATCTTGCATCCTACAGTGTCATATATAATGTGATGTATATTGTATCATATATTTAATCACACTGTATCATATATTGTATCACACTATTACATATATTGTAATATTCAGTGTAGTATAAATTGTAATATACAGTATAGATGTATATTGTATCATATGTTGTATTATATAGTGTATTATATAGTATATAATATATTGTATCATAAATTGTATCATATAATGTATCATATAATGTATCATATATCGTATTGTATTATATTGTATCATATATTGTATCATATAATGTATCATGTATCGTATCATATATTGTATTATATATTGTATCATATATTGTATCATATATTAGATCACATTGTATCATATATTAGATCACATTGTATCATGTATTGTATCATATATTGTATCACACTGTATCATATATACGTGCTGTAATATATAGTGTGATATATATTATCACACTGAATGACATATTGAATCATAGACTGTATCATATAGTGTGATATGTGGCGCATCATACATTGTACAAGGATTGTATCATTGATTGCATCACTCTGTATCTTATATTGTATCATAGATTGCACCAAATACTATCATATTATATCTGGACACAATTCTCGCGTAATGGGAACAGCCGCTTTGTTGCCAATTGATTTCATCTCAAAATGATTGGCACATCTATAAACCCATATATCAACGCACAGAATTTTTGCGGCATAGGATGGCCCTCTGTCTTTGCCGGTCCGCAAAAAATGAAAATAAACTTAATCGCTGTCAGCGCAACTCAAAGACATGGAGCGCCATGTACGAAGTCACTTGACTACTAGTATAAAAAACCCTTCACTTTTGGCCTCTTAAGGGCTTTAGCGAAACAGGAGTTAGGGTCCAAAGTATATCACATACTTAAATAAACAATTCTATAAAGAACCCAGCCGCGTTCTATTATTCGCTCACGTGGTGTCGCTTTCAGTTCGGCGCACCGAATATAAACGATAGGGGCATAGAGGGTTCTACTTTAAATGCTTCCTGGGGCGTACTTCAGATGACACAGTTATATCTGATAGCTCACTGTCCTCTGTGTGCATTGAAATCAACCAAAAAGGTCTCGTGATTTCAGAATCCGAACATATAATTAAGCGTATTTATGCACCCTTTACTCTTCCCTTGGATCATTTAATGCATCTCGTCCTCCCGTGCATCCCTTGTCTTTAGACAACATATATCTTTATTTGATTCAGAAACTGTCTCACGTGTTTATTTTTTCCGGCGCCATACTGCATTTTTCTCGATACATGGGCATGTCATACTACGGCCTGTGTTTCGCAGCCGGAAGACCAATTAAAAGCCAAAGAACTGCGTGGTCCAATAAGCAGATGATGAGAGCCCAAAATTCAAATAAAGTCTAGAACTATAACTTAAGGCTTAGTTTCATCCACCTCTTCCCCAAGAGGCCTGTTAGCTATTGTTCTCTCTTTGATAATAAGATATAGTGGCCCTTGCCTGCCGGGCCGCCGGCACATCGCGCAGCTGCCAGACCAAATCCTCCATGCTAATTTTCACACTGAATTCATCGTATATACGGCCGATGATCCCGAAATCTCTACAGAAATGGAGGCCCGAGCCCGGGTTCCCATTCAAGTGTGGCTTGGAAATCCACACACAGCTCAAGACTAAGCACAAGCTTTTCTCGTTGTCCCGAAACGCGGCCGAAGGCCCTCCTAATAGTAACACGTCGTATTTCGACGTGGGTCTTCCGGGCACGTTTCCCAAGTTGAACCCGGAAGCGCTTCTTCTAGCCTTGAAGGCAGCTGCAGTCTTGAAGTCACGTGTGAACCCAATCTCGTCTTTTGATAGAAAACACTACTTCTACCTAGACCAGCCTCTTGGGTACCAAATCACGCAACATTACAGGCCGTTGGCAAATGGCGGCTCTTTGCAACTCACCAGAAATTTCGACGATGTGCTCGAAGACAAGACAATCGGCATTGAGCAGATCCAGATAGAGCAGGACACGGCCAAATTGAACTACGACGCTTTCGGCCAGTCCACTGCGATCGACTTCAACCGGGCAAACGTGCCTCTAATAGAACTAGTCACGAAGCCGGACTTCAACCATTTGCTTCAAGTGCGTGCATTTGTCAAAAAGTACATTGGCATCATGACTCATTTGGGTGTCTGCTCAGGCGACATGGAAAATGGTGCCATGCGCTGTGACGTAAACGTTAGCGTTGCGGGCGGAAATAGAGTCGAGATCAAAAACTTGGGCAGTACTTCCGAAATCGCTGCTGCTGTGATCTACGAATACGCCAGACAGGTCAATCATCTTAAATCTAGTGCCCTGCCGATCGAGCAAGAAACAAGGGCCTGGAACGGCAAGGAAACTGTCAGGACCCGGTCAAAAGAAGATGCTGTGGATTATAGATATTTTCCAGATACGGAGCTCCCGCTTGTGCATTTGAAACCAGAAATCACCCAGCAAATCTCGGCCATGCTTCCAGACCTTCCCGACCAGATCGTTGAGAAACTAATGCTGGACCCGTTTTTACTCGAAAAAAAACACGCCAAGTTCTTAGTAGAGTCTCGCTCAATTCACGCCTACTACATGGACATCCATGATATCCTCGTGTCTAGAGCCTCCGGGTGTCTGGCAAAGACCTTGAACAACTGGTTCTTCCACAACCTACTTGGAACATTTAAGAAGTTCGATCAACCCGTCGACCCATCTGTATTACCGGCTGACAAATTTGCTTCCTTGATCATGATGGTGCAGAACAACGAAATTTCACTGACCTCCGCAAAGCTCATTCTCACCGCTTTGATCCAGTCCCCTGAAACCACGCAGTCTCTCAGCATCAGAGAAATGGTAGACCACTATGACTTGGGCGCTCCTGCAGATCTTGCAGAGGGCGAGTTTGAAAATGCTGTGAGAGATATATGCTTGGAGATTATAGACAATCATCCTGACGTGGTGGAGACAGTCAGAAAGGGGAAGCACAAGTCCATTAAGTTTTTGATCGGACAGGCTATGCGGGAAACACAGGGCAAGGTCGACTCTAGAAAGTTTGATCAATGTTTTACAAGCCTTCTTCTTGGCAGAAAGGACTAGGGCCAAGTACCAAATCAACCGTTTATTTAAAAAAAGACAAGTGAACTAAAAAGAAGCTGTGTCGTTCGAGTCGGGCAGCAAGGAAAAGGGTTCTTTTTCAAGAACTAGCGTCTGGAAGTGCTCATACTCGATCTGACTGAGCCCAACTGTTTCCTCTGTTGACTGCGTTTGCTTCGAGGTTTGGCGACTCTCGTCGAAGTCTTTCGCCACATAGAAATCCCGGGGTTCTTCTTTCTTAAACCTCGTGAAACCAATGGATACTAAGAAGCCTCTGTACATCTTGAGCGCCTCAGTTCCGAGGCCGAAAAGGAAGAAGGTGATGAAGGAAAAGACTATTGGTACGACCTTTGAACTGAGGTTATTCATGCCGATGTCGTAGGCGTAAACGTCGGACCATTTGATGCTTGCATATGCCATCGCCATTTCGCTTGTCACAGAAGAAGCGGCCTTTACGTCCGCAGCAAAACTGATGAGAGTGACCGGAGAGAACACGAGAACAATCAAGAAACTCAAGACTATCAATCGCGAGAACTTCCGCATGTTGAGCCCCGAATTTGTGCACCGCAAAATGTCCAGAATATCTTTTCGCTTGCGAGCGAGTTCCACAATGGTCAAAACTGCAAAGACACAAGCAACGGCAATCCAAATGACATTCCAGATGGAAACCAACATTACCGATCCCAAGGTGTAATTCCACGGTGCCGAACATCCATAGTAGCGGGCAATATCATATCTGTGATTCTGTGCTAGAACTGTCAACCCCATGACCAAAAGCGGGTTGGCCCAGCACATCAAGATGTTGACCGCAAGTTTTGTCTTGGAGTCTCGTGCAAGATAGCCATGGTTTTTTGCAGCTATTATCATGAACAAGTTGAAAATTATACAAGCGGTTGCGCACAACAGACCAACAGTGGCTCCGCTCAAGATTCTTACGGTGATGTCACAGTATATTTTGCCGTCATAAACCCGGTTGTAATTCTCGCCGCTCCAGATTACAGCGTTGATGAAAGTGGTGAGATTTTGGATACAGAACCATATTATCAAACTGGCAGCTGGAATATTACGTTGTTGAACGTGGTAGCATAGAGGCGGCACTAAGACTGCAAGTGCAAGGAAGGAAAACGCCGCTAAAATCTGCCCTGCTGCGTCTGACATCTTTATTTACCTCTGAGTTTTGAGATGTTTATACCGAAAAAGGAATCTTAGTATCTCATTCTTCTTGAATCTATTTATGCCAAACGCAAAACGCATCGCTGCCGCACTTTAGTCTTGAGATGGTTCCTTTGAAGTCCTATTCGGGTACATGATTCACACACATAGCCATTTAATGCGTCTTTAGTATGTACGCCTGATTGAGAAGACTGGCTTCAGCCACTCGTCGGCTTCCATTTTCCGTGATTTTCATGCAGTGTCGCTTCTATATAAAACGCATACCTTTGAGCTGAAATGTCTCTTTTTGATATTATAAGGCAGAGCATGAAACAAGACGGCTCCACTGCCTGTCTCAGTTCTTATTATGAATGGATGGACAGCACTGGGATCTCTGGGGGATCTTGTTCTATTTGTCGGTCCAATTGATTTCCTTTTTATTCAATTTTCTTGGCTATGTGCTTTGTTAAAATCCTTGCTGATTCTGTGGTAAGTCCATCGAGTTTGTAAAAGTTTTTGCAAATGAACTTTCAGGAAATCTCAACGAAGTGAGAATGATAAAATGACATTATAAAGAACGATTTTCGAAATCGACTTGTTCGGGGGAATTGAAAGCAACTCAGTAGTCTATTTTGGCATGTGCACAAGTATCTCCTGATTTACTCCTTATTGCAAATGACTTACTAGTGATGGACCATCATTTCCTGTGATTGACATCCTGGCGACCAGCGTAGAAACAATCGTAAAACACGTATCTTAATTGGAAAGACCGCCACTTAGCCAGGAATTTTATGCACACAATACCGATTCTGGCTTCACCACCAATCAGCTGTTGACCCAAAACCATAGTGCCATACGCATTTCAGAAAGCCCACGGCTCTCTCGAAAGTATAAACAAGGTTCATATAACTATTCAGGTATTCATAATCTAAGTCAATCCGGACAATTATGCAACAATGGACTTCAAAATCTCGTGGTTGGAGATGATGTTAGCGTACTTCTGGTTCAAAAACTTCACCAAGTTGACGACCTTCTCTTCCAACTCCTTGGTGTGGAATTGCTTGATTTTCTCGATGTTTTCCTCTCTGCCCAAGGTACTTTCCTCGACCAACTTAAGTCTGTCAGCCTCCTTCTTAAAAATCTCAGCCAAGATTTGAATGACTCTCTCGGTTTGAGACTCGATGAAGCTGTCTCCACTCTCGTACAACTTGATGATCCAGGTCAAGATTGGGACGTTCTCTTCAGGGCCAGATTCCAAAGGCAAATGGTTTAACAAGGCAGGCAAAACGTGTTCAACGGGGACAGCGGCAGCGTTCTTCAATGCCATTCTTGCAACACAGCCACAAGCGTTCGCGTTACTTCTGTTGACAACGTCCTTGGACTCGCCATCGTCCAACTTAGCTTGCTCGTCGGACTTGCTCAACAAGTGGAACATGGTTTGCAAGATCTGCTGGTAGCTGGCGGAAAAGTCGGTGGAGCTGGCCTCGATAATAATACCAACACCGTATGCGGCATTGCCCTTGACTTCCAAAGACTTGTCGTTGGCCAATCTGTCGGAGAAGACTTGCAAGAAGTCATCGGTGTAAGGGTTAGCGTTTTTCAATCCGGCGGAGATCTCAGCCAAACCACCAATGGAGCTGACTCTCTTGGACTTGGACTTGGATGTGACATTGGCGATGATAACGTCCTTGAAAGAGGCGAAAATCTTGACGAAGTCAGGGCCAAGCTCGAGCGACAAGATGATCAAGACCTCCAAAGCAGACTCAAACAACATGGCCTCGGACTCAGAAGTGTCCTCGCCCTCGTCAACAGGCTCCTCGTCGTCCAACTGGCAGCCGTGCTCCTTCTTCAAGATGTTCATCAACTGCACACAAAGCTTCTCGAGGAGGCTGGTGTCTGAGGCATTGCTGACAAGAGCGGCAATACCGCAGGTCAGGAGGGCCTCGGTAAGGTTGTCCAAGTCGCAGACAACCAAGTTGAACTCAAACTCCTCCTCCAAGTTGGCCACGGTGATGGCTCTGGCTTGCTCAATCAATTGCAAGAGATTGGCGTCAAGGTAGGACTGCTGTGGAACACCCTTTGGCGCCTTGAAGTCGGCACCGTAAGTAGCCTTGAACATAGCGCGCACGATCTTCCAGAGCGAGTTCATAGCGGCCTCCCTCATGCCGTAGGAGACCTCGACCTGCTCGGACAAGGTCTTGAAAGAAGGCTCGACCCATTTGGCAAAAGCGGCGCCGGTGCCCATGGCCAATTCGGACAAGGCCACGGAGGCGATTTCCTTCTCGATGGTGATGCCCGAGTTGAACTTGAACTTGTTGTCCATGTCTCCCTCGTCGTCCTCGAACTCTTCCTCGTCGTCGTCCTCACCACCTTCGAAGGAGAACTCTTCCTGCTCCAAACACTTCAAGATCTGGGGCACGATCTCGTCCAAGAAGCCGGCAAACTCTGCACCGTAGACCTTGGCCATGTTGGAGATGAAAGCAAAGCCCGACTCACGGATGCGGGGGTGCTCGGCACCAATGGACGAGTAGGCAGCCTCAACCAAAGGCTTGGCGTAGGCAGCGAAGGGCTCGGAGCCCACGGCACGAGCCATGGTGGAGATGTTCTCGAAGGTGCAAGCGCGCAACTCGATGTCGTCCTCGGACATGCCATCGGTTTGCGCAGCGTTGGAGATGAAAGGCTCCAAGATGTGGATGGACTGGTCAAAATAGGGCGTGAAGCCCTTGCCGCCGGCAAACGCGGTGGAGCCGATGGCGGACACGATGGCTGCCTTCAAGGTGGATGAGTTGGCGGCCTCCAACATGCTGAACAACTTCTGCATCAAGGGCGCCATGTACTGGGCAATCGCGTCGTGGCCCATGAACTCAATGATGCCGTCCAACGCGTAACACGCGTACTTGTAGGCCATGACGTGCGCCGCGGAGTCGATGATGCCCATGATGAGCGGCAAGAGCTGCTGGTGATAGTCCGCAATGTTGTCCTGCAATTCGGATGAGAGCTGAGCCACGGCCCGCACGGCCGCCACCTGCACCACGGTCTCGCGGTCTTGCAAGCCGTTGATCAACACAGGCACGATCTTGGCCACCTGGGTGGCGAGGTAGTCTGGCGCACCGGCCGAGGCCACGCCGACAATCAAAAGCCCGGCTCTTCTGGCAAACATATCGGGCGATGCCACCATGGCAGGCAAGCTGTCGAAGAACGGCGCAATGACCTGCAGCGGCGGCAACTCGCCGGCCAACACGCCCATCAAGCGCAAGGCCAAGGCGGCCGGCGTGTTCTCCTCGTTCTCGTTCTCCTCGTCCTCGTTGTTCAACTCGTCGTCCACGTCGATCTCCTCGGACGCAATTCGCGTGGCGATGGCCGTGAGCTGCGGACCCAAGTTGTTGCTGGACACCTTGGTCTTGCGCAAGGACACCACAGAGATCAAGAACTGCAAGCCCATGCAGCGGAACTCCTCGTCCAAGCGCGTGTTGGCCGCGAGCTCGGCGATGGTGGAGATGAGCTGCACGATCTGCTCGCCCACCAACTGGTTGTCCAAGAACAACAACGAGTTCATCACGTCGAACACGGCCTTGGTCTTGTCGGAGTCGTTGGCCTGGATCACGTCCTGCAACACGGCAAGCATGCCCGGGATGGCGGCCTTGAACTGCGCCGCGGTGGCCGGGTTGATGGCGTCGTCCTGCTCGAGGAACTGCGCGAGGCAGTCCAAGCACGCCACCGCGTTGACGCGGATCTCCTGCGACGCGCCGCTGGCCACGAGGCCGGCGAAAAGCGCCACAAAGTCGTCCTGGTGCGCGCTGAGCGCGGGGCACAGCGTTTCCAACAACGTGTAGAGCGTGTACACGGCCATTTCCTTGTTCTGGGCGTCGCCGTCCTGCACGGCCGCCACCAACGTGGGCAACAACTCGGGCCACGAGTCCTCAACCAAGTCCTGGTCGCCGATGGCCGCCACCACGCGCGCCGACGAGTGTCTGATCAACTTCAGCGGCTGGCTGAACGTGTTTTGCAACAAGGCGGCGCGGATCTGCGGCTTCAACTCCGCAGCCACGGTCTCCCACTTGGCGCCGACGAGCTTGCGGGCCTCGACCGCGGCCAACTGCTTGACTTGGTCCTGCGTGGACGTTTGCAAGATGTGCAAGAGCGAGGGCAAGGCCAAGGCGTTGGAGTAGAGCTCTTTGGAGAGCCTAGCCGTGGCCTGCTTGACGGTGGTGGGGGAAAACGTCTGCTGGAGGGTGTCCTCCAAAGCAGCAAGGTACTGGGCGTCCATTGTCTTGTGTTTTTTCGGCGTTTCCGGGGGGTATTGGTGGGTGTATTGGGCGCTCCAAGGAACAAAGGAGGAGGAGGAGCGAGAAAAAATTATGGAGCCGCAGGCGGTGCGCGATGCTCTCACGTGGACAGGCCCGGCTGCGAACGGGCGCTGGGGCCGGCTGCGAAAAAACACACTGTGACTGGAAGGAAGAACATGAGTAGATTCCGGTGTTTTATACACAGATACGGCAGGGGGATTTTTGGTGATGTTTTTTTGTGGAGGATGCCGTTTTGTGTGGGATGCTGTTTTTGGGGGATGCTGTTTGTCGGCCTTATTCAGGTTGCTGTTGTGTAATTTGGCCGTGCTGGTGTTGTTGAGAATTGATTGTTAGTGTTGTGGTTTGGTAGATGGTATTGCTATTTTCATCTGGGTGTTGGTGTTGTTGTTGTAATTTGGGTGCTGGTGGTGTTGTTTTAATTTGGTAGTTGGTGGTGTTGTTTTAATTTGATAGTTAGTGGTGCTGTAATTTAAAAATAGCGTCGCTGTGGCAATTTGGCTGTTGATGGTATTTTCTTTTTTTTTGTTATGGAAAGTTGCTTTCTCCTACTACTCGTGCTAGCTTTCTACACAAGATGATAGGAAGAGTCTCTTGGTAAAATGGCGGGTGAGCGCCAGCTGGGCCTGGGCTTCTAATTTCTGCCATGCTACTCTGGCTTGAATCCCCAGCTCTTTCACCTCAGTGGTTATTCTTGGATCTTTGTAAATATTGTTCTCCTGGCTCTGTTTGGTATGGTGTTTCTTGGGCGGTTTTGTATCTTGTTGATATCCCTCTACCCTGACTATTTTCTTACCCTAGAAACATCTAGTGAGCTTCTGCTACTAGTGAGAGTACTTGATTTTTTGCCGACTTGTCTTGTCGAGGAATATACTTGTTGTTTCCATATTTTATCGCAGTTTGGAAAGTACTTGCCGCCTAAGTTTGTCGTGCGGCTAGAAGTGTCTACCGGGCACAATTTAGTAGCCGTGCACACTGGAAATTATTAGGACTTTGAAACGTCTCGACCATTTTCCAGTTGCCTGATTTCGTTCCCTATTTTTTCGTGACAATTTTTTCCACAAAAATCCTTGTTTCCTTCTCCGTCATTTTAGGTCTCCGACTCTTGATCTTTTGCCTGGTGACTCTGCCATGATACCATTCCCAGTTCATTCTTTCCCGTGAATCTATCCAACGCTTTGTTTTCAACTCTTTGTCTCAAGTGACCTTTTACAAAGTTTTCTTTTTTTTTTTTTTTCATTTTTTCAAAATATTTGCATCCACTGACTGATTTCCATTCTCTCTTTCTGGTTTTTTTTTGCCTAATCTCGCCTCCAGACTCTTTCCTTCTGACATTTTCCCCAATTGATTCCAGCTCTTTGTTTGGTTTTTGTCCGGATCTTGGACCCAGCTTCCCTTCTTTTAATTCCCAAAACCGGTGAAATTTTTTCCTCTAAAAAATTCTGACACTGCCTCTTTTATTTCAATCTTTCTAGAATTTTTTTTTTTTTCTTGCAAAAGCTTGAAAAGCCACCTGGTCTATTACTGTGGCACGATTAGGCCCAATCGATTATCATCTGAACTTTAATTAAAAATCGTATCATATTCGAACTCTTCTCTCATACCACGGAGGGTCAATTTATCCATGTCCTACTGGATCGACATTAGCTAGAAAAATATTAGCTGATGTAAGCAACGGTTACAAGCACAGCGAAATCTTTCGTGTGTCCTCGAACATCGTCATTGATTAACTGATCAATGATGAGAGCATAAAAATGAAGAAAAATATTTTGCTTCCACGAATATGCATTTTTTGAAACACTCCAAGGCCAAGCACATTTGTTTATTCTTTAGTGTAGACAGTTACACGCATGCATCTTAGTTTTCTCCATGTTTTTGGTCTTCTCGCCAAAGAAAAGCGACTTCCAATAGCCTTTTGCAAACTTTGAAAACCTTCAGAGGGCAAGCCTCCTTCGCAATCATCAGAAGAAATTAAAACTGTTTTGCCTGATAAAGGGCTAAATGTTGGAGTTCCATGCAGCCCGCATGGTATGGGCTGACCATGCATTGTTCAGACTCGACGCTTCCTTTCTTCATGTACTGTATTTCACTGTAAAAAAGATGTGCTGAAGTAAACTAAAAATTATGGTTCAAACAAAATTCCTTTTTATCAAGTGACATTTTCGTGATTTCATTCCACTCAATGTATGCTCTCTTCAATATTTAAGGAAGTTTTATTTGGTGATGTCAGATCCTGACACATTTTGTCTTTCCTCTTGATTATTCTCTTTTCCCTCCAAGCACTTCCGGAGTATCCAAATTTGCTGAATATGTAGTGACTTCTGAATCAGACGTAGGTCCATCCGCAGGCTTTAACCTTTGAATAATAAGCGTGCCTCTCTGAGTCTAGCTTTTTCTTACAATTTAGTTCTCGCATATTACATCAATAAACTATGGGCTTCCTGTACTGATGGGACGGGATTGCAATGACTGAAATATCAGAGGACGCGGGTAGGCTCAGTCATTAAGAACAGTCAAGACGCCAATCGAACAGTTTTGATGTCAACGGTGCAAACCAATCTCCATCTGGACATGAAATGGTTTTTCACACCAAACACCCGTGGAAAAGGCGTGGCCAAAGCTATGGTAAGCATTTCGAATAAACAAGACTGTGCGCTACTTTGGGCTCGTTGTTCCCCTTCCAAAGAATTCTAACTCCTCATTCAACCGTTGTCATAGTTTAATTTGTCAATCCTTGACAGTTGACAATGTTCTCTGTTCAGGAGTACAAATCCAGCGCCTATCCTAACCTTTGATTCGTTTCGATCTGAGTGATCTCTGATTTAGTGTTGGCAATGCACTTTTAACAAGGCAGAGAGCCAAATCAATTGACCGTTCGGCCCAAGACGCGCTGTTGAATGAAACAATTATTACAGTTCTCATATAGGTTCATTTTATATATAATGACCCTAAGCCCGTGGTGAATCAGGATGCAGACATTCAATATTCTTGCTGATATACTTGAGGATAGGAAGGATTTTGAGGCCACAACGGGGGAAGACGCGCTTAAGTTGAGCCATTCATTTCCGATTTGTCGAGCAGGATGAAAAGTTGGTGGTGGCACGGCAATGTTCCAAAGACGGCTGTACTCGAGCTGCTGGCTATAACCCAAGAAATTCAGGCGAATTAAAGCCTTTTGGTTTCTTCGTGTTTCTTCATGTTTCTTCATGTTTCTTCATGTTTCTTCATGTTTCTTCATGTTTCTTCATGTTTCTTCATGTTTCTTCATGTTTCTTCATGTTTCTTCATGTTCCTTTATGTTCCTTCATGTTCCTTCATGTTCCTTCATGTTCCTTCATGTTCCTTCATGTTCCTTCATGTTCATTCATGTTTCATGTTCCTTCATGTTCTCCATTTTTCTTCGCTGTTTCTTCGCTGCTTTCCCTATCATTCAGAACACGGACTCGTAGCATGAATCCCAGATAGGTCATCAGACTTCTTCCACTGGTTTTGGCTTTTTCATTTGACACCTTTGATCTGGCACCAGAAATGGCCGTCTCTTGATCTGTCGATGAGACCGAGGCTCAGGGCTCAAGCCTGCTGCACAGTCAACGCGTCCTTCGTGTCTCAGAATCGCCAGTCTGAATCCGGCTTTCGTGCGGTTCTTCGGGATGTCTCTCCCTCTGACTGAGCAAGTACTCCAGGAGCAATCACTCCAAGACCATGGCTCCGCCATCGAGTAAATGCTTCCTGTCTTGTTGCTGTTCCCACCAAGCCAGCTGATACTTCAAGATCCCGCGACTGGCTCTCTGGCCAGTTTTCCCCCGGCCAAGGCCACGGCGCCCCACCAGCAACACAGGGCCTGTCTGGTCTCTTTGCTCCCGCTTTTCCCGCAAGCATCGCCAGACCAGGCAGGACACGCGCCGCTGGCCGCTCACAAGCTGGAGAGGTCCAGCGGCATTTCGCGGATGCGGATCTTGTAGTGCTTCTCCAAGCCCCGGAGCTCCGCCACGTCGTCGCGTGTCAACAAATTGATGGCCACGCCCTTGCGGCCAAAACGCCCCGAGCGCCCGATGCGGTGGATGTAGTTCTCACGGTCCACCGGCAAGTCGTAGTTGATGACGAGCGACACCTGCTGCACGTCGATGCCGCGGGCCCACACGTCGGTCAGAATCAACACGCGCGAGCTGCCGGAGCGGAAATCGCCCATGATGGCGTCGCGCTCGTCCTGCTTCATGTCGCCGTGCATGGCCACCACCGCAAAGTTGGCCTTGCGGAGCTGCTCGGCCACCCACGTGACCTTGCTCTTGGTGTTGCAGAAGATCACCGCCTGCGTGATGGTGAGCAGGTCGTAGAGGTCGCAGAGCGTGTCGAACTTCCACTCCTCCTTCTCGCACTGCACCTGGTACTGCTTGATGCCCTGCAAAGACACGTCCTCCTGGCGCACCAAGATCTTCACCGGGTCCGACGTGAACTTGGCCGTCATTTCAAGCACCTCCCGCGTGAGCGTGGCGCTGACCACCACCACCTGCACCGTGGCGGGGAGCTGCCGGTAGATGTCGTAGATCTGCTCCTTGAAGCCCTTGGTCATCAACTCGTCGGCCTCGTCCAACACGAGGATCTTGACGCCACGCGTGGCAAGCGTGCGCCGCTTGATCACGTCCAACACACGGCCCGGCGTGCCGCTGACAATGTGCTGGCCCTGCGCCAATTTGCGCGTGTCCTCGCCCATCTGCTTGCCGCCGATGCACGCGTGCGTCTGCACGTTCATGGAGCTGCCCAAGTTCATGATCACGCTGTGGATCTGCACCGCCAACTCGCGCGTGGGCGAAACCACGAGTGCCTGGCAGCTGCGCACCTTGGCATCGATGACCTGGAGCATGCCGATGGAGAACGTGGCGGTCTTGCCTGTTCCCGACTGCGCCTGCGCGACCGTGTCCCTGCCGGCGATGATCTGCATGATGGCCCTGCTCTGGATGGCCGACGGCGCCTCGAATCCGTACGAATAGATGCCCTTCAATAGCTCGGGCTTGAGCTGCATGCTCTCGAAGGAGCCGTGCACCTTGATGTTCTTGGTGGACTTGTGCGAGAACCGGAGCTCCTTGTCGGCGGAGCGGTCGAAGTCCATGTTCAGGAGCTGGCGGTTTTGCGGGGTTTTTGGTGGTGGATCCGGCGCAGCAATAGTGATGGTTTGCGGCCTAATTTCGGCCTGGGGCTCTGCGCAGCGCATCGCCGATGCCCATCGCCGGGCGCGCACCGCTCTGGCTGGGCCAGAGAGGCATGCTTGGGTTATAGTTTCAATCCGGAGTTTCGTTTTTTTGTTTTTGTTTGTTTGTTTTTTGTCTGTTTTGTTTGTTTGTTTTTTTGTTTGTTTTGTTTGTTTGTTTGTTTTGTTTTTGTTGTTTCTTCATTCGGCGAGTCGGGAGGAAACTCTTGCAATGCTGAAAGGCAGCAGGTATTGTCCTCAGACCTTGGCATACGAATCCCTCGCTTCAGACTGACTCAGGATGGGCCTCAGTTCAGAATGTCCTGGGGTGGAGAAGACAAGCACTGAATTCAATAGGACGTGGTCTAGATGTGCGCTCACGACTCAGAACTGAACTGGTGTCCCTGGCTCTGCTTGAAGCCGTCTCTGGTGTAGACCTATACAGGGCTGCGGGGTCTGGTGGGAATGCCGTCTTGCCTCTATATCTTATCAGTCCGTCTATTGTAGACGATGTCCTTAAAAGGTGACATGTCTTAATCCACCGGAGAGCCGGGTCTGACTGTGACGGAAATGTATACGTGGGGCCTGAGCCGATCAGACCTGGAAACCACATGCTGTTGCCGTCTTTATTTTGGAACAAGCAAGCTCGGAAATACTGCTGCATTAATCAAAATGGTTTCAGTCAAGGCATGCTGAGCCAGGGTGTCATGTAGAACTAGGACGGCTGCTAGTGGAAGACCGGGAATCCAATACTGGGACATGTCATGTTTATGCCTTTTTGCCTGCTTGCCCAGCTGAATTGCACACGGCCGGCTTCCTGTCCACTAAAGAGCCAACGTAAAGCCCGCCTCTATTATTTCCTCGCCCGATATATGCACCGTCGTTTTGAGAACCTCATGTCCAGCAAATCAAGCCAGTCTGGTGCTGGCGGGAGATTCCTGCGCTTGCCTGTATTCTCGAGATACTACATCCTAATACATGGATTCAGACTCCATTCTCTTAAAGCTGTGCAAAGTGCGGGAGCTCGGGCGGTCTCTTTTTTCGCTTTCCACCCAGAACTCCTGTTTGACTATGGTGACTCCTGCCATGCTACATTGTGAGGTCGGATCCACGTCCCGTGTCCCAGTCAAAATTGAGCGTGTTCATACTTGGAATCTGTGCTTGCATCTCCCATAGCCGGCCCCATAAGACTTTGCTTGATCTGTTCCTATTGGGGCTCCCACTCGGTATGCATGTTCAGATCTATCATGTGCTAACCTGTCTTATTATACCCGCATAGTGAGGCCCATGGCTACGCCTGCGAAAACCCAGACATGAGTCTAATTCGAAATCCCATGCTGGCGCCTCTCATGAATCATGATGTGGTCAGAATCATCAAGCCTACATACAGCCCAAGCGAGTCACAGCATTACCTGAGCCGTATAGAACCAAACTTGATACAGCGACAAGCGCGGCCCTAGAAATGCGGCCCTAGAATGCGGCCCTAGAATCGGCCCTAGAATCGGCCCTAGAATCGGCCCTAAAATGCGGACCTAAAATGCGGCCCTAAAATGCGGCCCTAAAATGCGGCCCCGGGTGCTCGCATAGTTAAGCCCCGGAGCAGTCGAATAGCCTGACAGACATCCCTGTTTCTGGGTTGAACTCCACACACAGATGCACAAAAACAATATCGTCGTGTTGATCGGAGGCGGCCATGCCGCAGGCAAAACCACCGCGGCACACAGCATCAAGAACGACCTCCAGGCGCTTCCTGGGCACTCCGCAAACTCGCTTCAGATCGAGGTCTTGGACATGCAACAATACATTGACCGCACCGTCACAACGACCCTTTCTTATGCACCCAACTCGGCCATCACTGTGGGCCTGAAGTCCAGAATCCTGTTGAAACCTTCCAGATTCGATTTCCATGCCCTAAAAACGTACATCTCGTCTCGTTTGGCCCGCCCCGATCCTACGGCCCCTCAGAAACTCATTATTGTCCATGGATTATACGCTCTATACGACAAGGAATTGTGTGACATGTCGCTTTTCAAGGTTTACATTGATAGCGATGCGGACACCCGACTCGTCAGGTGGATCCAGCGTGATGTGTTGCCGGCGCTGGGCAATGGCGCTAGCTTGGAATCTGTCATCAACTTGTACCTACATGGGGCCAAGCAGGAAATGGCCGACTACATTTTCCAGACCAAAGAGCGTGCGGACGTGATCATGCCTCGTGGTTGCGAGGCCAACGGTATCGCCTTAATTGTCGATGGTCTCCTCTCGTACTTGGGCTCCGACAACGTACTGGAACACAAGCCCATCAACACGTTGAGGCCCTTTGCCATCGAGCGCTGGGACGGCGACAAGCAGAAGTTTTACGAGCTCAGCTGATTGTTTTCGTATATCTTCAATTGTCAAAAATTAGCATGTCGACTGGACAGCTCGGATCATCGCGCCCCGGTTTGATGCGCCCTAGATAAATACACCTTGAGTCTTGACCCATTTCGCGACGGGGTCGCTCGCGGTTGTGTACTCTGCCATTGTCACAATGGCCTCCTCGGGTATGGCCTCTCTCAACCGCTTGTCGCTCCGATACCAACTCTGAAGCAAGTACAACATCTCATTCTCCTTCAAAAATTTCGTGAAGCCAGCATACATGTCGTGGGAGTTATACTCGATCAACGTCTTGAGCGTCACGTGTAGTGTTTCGTATGCTACGCCTGCTCTCCTAAACGTGTCGATGACAACTCCAAGCGGTGGCTTTTGTGAACTCTCGTCTTCCTCTGCGGCGGCTTGGATGTACTTGCACATCAACTTGATTAGCTTGTCAACAGGAAAAACGAAGTCGTTGTTGTGTATCTTGCTCCCAACCGAGACCAATGCATCACTCAAGACGAGACAGAAAGGCTTTGACTTATCTTTTTTCTCCGTGTACTCGTAATTGAGTCTCTCGAAGTACAACTCCCACCGTTTGAAAATGTCATCGGGGTTCTTGTAGTCCGAAACATAGAAAATTCTGAAGCAAATTTCATAGTACCCCAAAGGATCCGCGTATTCATTGAAAAGCTCGCTTGCTTTTTGTATCTTATTGTCTAAGCAGTTTGTTGCGTGTTCTCTGTTTTCAACGCTTACTCGTGGGTCGGCTTGAATCATTGTCAAAAGGTCCAATTGCACGTTCGCCACTTCAAAAAGCTCATTAATGAGTGTCGAAAGCTGGATTATATTTTGTCTCAAGCTTGGTGGACACGTGCAATTGCAAAATCCGCTAGCTCTGGTAAGATACTCGATTCTTTGTCTCAAAGGTAATTTGAAGTTGGATATGGCCAAAAAATAGAGAATTCGTGCGGCCGGATAGTATTCCTCTCTTTTCGCGTGGTACAACCACAATAGTTCTGTTAAAGAGAGGTCGTCTTGAGACACTTCTTCTAAGAATGGCAAAATAAAAGGGGTGTTGACAGTGAGAAGTCTTTCACTGCATCCCTGTCTAATAAACCAACGGTAGAACTCATACTGGAACGATTTGTCTGGCGAGGCAAAACAGGTATCATAAGTCAGGTCTCTAAGCTCCATGAATTCGTTGATCATGAGTTGATTGTTGGATGAATTAACTTGTATCGCCTTAACATCAAGCTTCACGAGAATCTTGAAGATCAAATCATATAGCTGCAAGCGTTTCTTTTCTTTCTGTTCAAGGTTTATGTGGGCAAACGAGCCATTGTTCTCCTCGCTCGTGTTGAGTACAACTGTGGACAGCGTACCTGCTACACCTTGTAGTCTCTTTGCAAGCTTCAACAAGAATTCGACTGCACCTTTGTAGAAGTCAAGTGACAACATTATATCGATGGAGTTTTCGATGTTTTCTAATGTGAGAGAATCGCTGGCCTGTTCAAAGAGCGTCACGGCATTGCGAAGACACTTTAATCTCATTTCGTTGTCCCTGTTGCCAATATTCTTGGCTCTGGTAAGGTTTTCGATGGCCTTGAAAATGTACACGTCATCGCTAGAACAAAATGAGCCACAGCGACCTTGCAAAGACGACGCGATCAAGTCAATCGAGCCACCCTTCAAGATTGTCTTGTTGATGATAGATGACAACAAGTCTTTGATGAGATTTTTGACCTCAAGACTTGGTAACAACAAGTCCTTGAGGTTCAATGTCAACAAATTGAGCTGGTTTGTGAGTGAAAGAAACTTGAAGATGTCGTTGTGGTTGTTCTGGTTTACTTGAGTTTCCTCGATTAAAACCATCAAGAATGACAACGCCTCTTTCATCGATGTCAATGACCGCAAAATGGATGTGAATGCAATGTGTTCGGCACGAACACACACCTCATTTTCAAGCTTCGAAGGATCTGAGCTATACGAAGGTGCATTAAGGCCTGGGATGTTGGTACGGTTCTCATTCAAGAAGTCTAGAAGAACAATGACCGAACCCATGAGATATTCCACCTGCTGTTTGTTGATGGTCACCCCTTCAATCAAAAGGTTGTCTTCTTTCACAGAAGACACTTCGACGGACCCATTTTTGAGTGTTTTAATATGTGGTAATGGGGCAAAAACTTTCACGCTCCACATATCTCTAAACAATCTAGAGATGAGCAAGCACGTGCCGTAAAACCTGTCACTCAACACGACCAGCTCCACCATTGGCTGCGACTCGGAGGGCATTATTGAGGCATGAGCTTGTGTAGGATGACTGCTTTGGCTCTCGATCAAACGGGCATTGTTTCCCGCATGTGAAAATAACAACTGAGCCTTTCTTTTAAGCAAGATATCAGCGGTCTTCTGTTTGGCTGAGCAAGCCAAGTAAAGCAAGGTTGAGCATGTTTCCTCATACCCATTTTCTTCGATAAAGTTCTCGATGACTTTGTCGTCCAAAGAGCTGATGATCTGGTCAGGCGTCCTGTAGCGATAAACGCTGATTCCATAGTTCGTTAAAACGGCGAACTCCAAAGGCTTCTTTGTATATTGCGATGCTAGAATGTTAGCGTATCCACTTGGCGTCTCCGTCGCATTCATGGAAGGAGTGAGTTGCACGATGTCATGGATGACAACAGGGGAAGTCTCATTGCCGCCATCCGTGGCGACGGGCAAAAATTCGGCGTCTTCAATTAGCTTATTGTTGTGTTTCAAAAAACCATAGTTGACCGAGCTCACAAACAAGCGGTCGCTATTCTTGGTTTTCTTGACGGCCAAAAACACGCCTGGACTGAGGATCTTGGAGAATTTGGTGTTTTTCAAGAGCTCCGAGTTTTGTTGGTTGGCAACCATTTGCGCGACGTATTGCTTGATTCTGATGTAGGAGTCCAATTCGGGGTTCATTTTGGGTTCTTCTCTTGTTGGGGGAAACCTCATGCTGGCCACGGTAAGCTTGACTGAGGCGGAGCTTCTCGAGGCGGCGGACATGAAGGAATACGTGGAACTGGCGCCCAATTTGAAAAGGATCCGGTTACCGAAGTTGGTCACGGCAATAAGCAGGATGTTTGCGGACTCCCTCTGTGAGATTGCTTGGATGCTCATGATCCTGAACTTGTTGAAGGACTTGATGTTGGCCGAGTCGGGGATCAACTGAGACAACGACTTGAAGATCTCAGTTGCGGACAACAGGCTGTGTTGCACAAACAGCTCCTGGTTCAGCGCCAACTTGTACACGCGAATCACGGAGTGGTTGGAGAGCGAGTACAAGACGTTTCTGGCAGCGTCCATCTCCAATTGCACTATGGCCTCCGGGGTGGCGATCGGCTTCCCGGCCCCGGGTGGCTTTCCTTTGCCGTGCTCCGCCTCGTGAGTGAAAAGATCGAAGCCCAGGATCTTGCCAATGGGAAGGACCGACGAGATCCCGCTCTTGGTGAGGCACACCTTGTCGCACTTGTTCTTGATGAACGACGCGTTGTTGGAGTAGTCGAGGCGCCAGACCTTGACGCCGTTGCCCTCGCCGCAGAAGTAGATGTCGTTGGTGATTTCGTTGGCCACGAAGCGGTTCACAATGAGGCCCTGGGTGTTCACGGAGAGCTTGGGGTTATAGATCTCGATGTTGTTGGTGGCCGCGTCGTGCTTGACCACGAAGATCTGGATTTCCATGGTCGTGGCGATGAGGAGAAGGAAGTTGGCGTCGTCGACGAAAACGCCCTTTTTCGGCCGCACCAAGTCCACCGCGAGGATGGAGTGGCGCACCAGGTCGATGGTGAGGAACTGGTGCGCCTTGTTGAACGACGACTGGGGGAGCTTGTAGTTCCAGAAAAGCAACTTGTTGTCCACGATGATCCACGCACGGCTGACGGCGGCGAAAAGGCCCATTTTCGTCGAGCACGCGGTGGTGTTGTGCTCCTCGAAAAAGCGGTCCGGCAAGTCCGTCTGCGCCACCTTCTCGAAGCGGGAAAGGCCGCCCCGCGCCTTGTCGCTGTCGAAGTAGTAGTTGTCGAGGCCCGACGTCTTGTTGAGATTGGGGGCCCCGTACAAGTCGCCCGGCGTCATGGAGTCGATCTTGATCATGTCCGTGATGTACTTGCCGCCCAAGCGGAGCGGCGGTAGGGTGCTGAAGTTGGGCACGCTGATTTTGTAGCTGACCTCGTTGACGGAATCCATCACCATGGGAAGAAAGAAGCGCAGGTTCTGCGCCAGGGCCGCCGAGAGGCCGCCGCCTTCGCCCGCATGCGTGCCGGTGGCGCCGCCCGGCTGGAACCGCGGCAACTCCGCCGCGTCGCTGTCCAACGCCAAGGACGGCGCGAGATATTTGCCTGTTTCGGCGCCTCTTGGGGCAGGCCTATAGGGCTGGTTGGACGGGCCAGTCGAGGCTCTGCCTGGGAGCACGGAGGCCAAGATACTCATGGTCTGGAGGCTTGGATCGCTGTTCTGGGTCGGCAGTGTCGCGGGGCTTTGGGCGGGAGAAAAAGCAAAGCCGGCTGGGACGGGGATCTGCAGAGCCAGAGGAGGTTTGGATGGTGTTTTGAGGGTGCGAGAGCGGTGCGAGCTACCTGAGATGGGGTACGGTGGTTTGGGCCGGCGGGCGAAAAATTCAAGGTCGCGGCACGACTGGTGCGGGCCGACTAATAGCAGATCTGGCCCAGTATGGTGTGTTCCGAGAGGGCTTTTGGGGTGGAGCTCTGTGGGCCGGGCGGGAGTATTGATGAGGTTTAGATTATGTTTTTGACATTTTCTTTCTTTTTTCTTTTTTCTTGTTTTTGGGCTGGGGTCTGGGTTGGGGTCTGGCTGATGGCTTGGGGCAGCCGGGGCTGCGCATGAGCATGGCGCCGCTGCCTTCAGCTCTGTTTTGTTGTTTTCTGGTTTCTGGTTTTCTGATTTCCTAATTGCTGGTTTGCTAATTGCTGGTTTGCTAATTGCTGGTTTTCTGATTCCCGGCTTCGTGCTTTCTTCTTTTTTTTCCTAATTTCTGGTTTCCTCTTTTCTGGATTCCTAATTTCTGTTTTGCTAGTTGCTGGTCTTCTGATTCCCGGCTTCGTGTTTTCTTCTTTTTTATTTTCCTATTTGCTGGATTCCTAATTTCTACCATTTCCGGTTTGCTAATTGCTGGTTTTCTGATTTCTGGTTTTCTGGGTTCCTGAATGCTAATTTCGGGATTTCGGGATTTCTAATTTCTGGTCTGCCAATTCCCGGCTTTCTGCTCTCTTCTTTTCAAGTAATATTTATTCTCTGATTCCTGGCTTCCTGCTATCTTCTTTTCTGCTTTTTTGATTTCTGAATTCCTAATTTCTGGTTTCCTCTTTTCTGGATTCCTCATTTCTGTTTTACTAGTTGCTGGTTTTCTGATTTCTGGCTTTTTGTTTTCTGGTTTCCTCGGTTCTGGTTTGCTAATTGCTGAGTTTCTAATTCCTGGCTTTCTGCACTCTTCTTTTCGAGTAATTTTTTTTTTCTCTGATTCCGGGCTTCCTGCTTTCTTCTTTTTGGTTTCCTGATTGCTAGTTTCCTAATTTCTGGCGTCCCAATTTCTGGCTTCCTCTTTTCTGGCTTCCTCTTTTCTGGCTTCCTAATTTTGGATGTCCTCAATTCTGGCTTCCTGATTCCGGGCTTCCTGCTTTCTATTTTTTAATTTCTGGTTTCCTGATCTCTGTGGTGAATACTCATGTCGCTGGTCTAAATTAAAGTGTGGAATAAGGGGCCTGCGATGAGTGACCTAAAGGCTTTGTTTCCTGATATTCTTAGAATGTCACTGGCGAGCGAGATCCGAAAATCTCTCTAAGCACCTTCTGATCTGCCAGCGCATACACAATTTGTGAGTTAAAGTAGACGACGCCAGAACAGCTTCACCAGTCATCAAGCACTCACTCATTTTTCCACGCCTTTAAAAATGGACACAGGTCTTCAAACGCCCAGGATTTTTCCCTTTCTCGACATCCTGCCAAGCTCCAAGTCGAAGCTCATAATGAGCGGCTATAAATTAGCCATCCAGCTCTTTGAGTCTCCGCTGCATTACGCAACTTGCCACCGAACGGATGCTCTATGAATGTCAAATGCATATACCATTATTTGCTACCCAAAACTCCCTCAAGCATAGCCTCGAATAGCTCGTCCTGTGCCGTCACATTATTCAGGTTTGTATGTGTGCCAATGGGCCCGCATGAGGAGTCAACCACGATTGGGACCGCACCCTAGCATACCAGGCGGCCATAAAAAGGTGACTTTCCTTCTGATTGTCCTTTCTGAAAATCATCAGTTACATAAGAAAATGCTGCCAATATCGACTACATTCTTCTTTGCCGACGTGCATATGGAAAATTCAATCTTTTAGAATAGTAAAGAGAACTATTTTGATAATATGGATACATTTTAAGCACAGTCAGCCCAAGATCCTTTCTGGCCCGCCTCTAATTAGTGGGGAGCCTTTCCGCTCTTTACCTTCACCCAATTATTTGCTACAATGTCTCTGTATTTTTGTTGCGGGCACTGTAAGTTGGTTTCAAACAAGATATTAGATTTCAGCTCTGATCCAGCTCGTGTGGTGCATGAAGAAATTCATACGAGCTCGTGATGAGTCAAGCGGAACAAATTAACCATTTGAGAGGAAACAACGTATATCAATGCCTGCAAGACTCATCCGAGGATCCTCCTCCCGACGTGGACTATCTGAGTCGGGCGAAGTAATCCGGAAGCAAAACTCAAATATAGTATAACTCTAGGTTGTCAATTGTTTCGTCATCTCTGTTTTGTCAAACCAAGAATTTTGGAACGTAAGTTTCATGATTTTTATAGAAATTTGTATGCCACAATAATTTGAAGATCTTATTGACGAGTTTACATCTTCAACCATCTTCTTCCTCTCGACTGCTTGATTTCATAACAGATCTACGGTCATCCTTATTTGAATCAACCACTTCTACCAACGCTTTATGTAGATGGGCACAATACCGAAAAAGGCCATGATACGGAAACTCCTGCTGTAGGCCAACAATAAGAGACCCTGCATTTCTTGGCCCGTATATTTCAATCATGGCTCAATGTTCCAAGCCGTCGCGAGGAAATAAAGACTCGTCTTTACTGACGCATTTCAATGAAAATAAGCTAAAATTAGGAGAGTCTGTACGAGCAGAATACATTGGTATGACGAGATTCTCAATCTTGTGCGGGCCATTAGAATCAGTATATTGCATTAGCTAAAATTGGTAGTACTTATTTGCATAAGGCCCCTTCAATCCAAGATCACGCTTTAATGGGTGATTCTGTGATTGTTTGAAAATGAGCTTTGCCGAAACACAACCCAATTCCGGTAACCTATGGACTTGGGGTTTCACTCAACCAATATGCAAAAAACGCTGTGCCATCATCCTGCTTTGCAGTTCCTGATCCTTTGTCTTACGTATGGCCAGTTCGGGCCGAGGGTGATTCCAATTGAGAAAAGCTGCCGGACATTCGGTATCATGATAATTATGAGGGTTCGTATGGGTCTCATCAGTCTCGCCGATTTCACCAAGTTAATAACCTCAATGATCTACCGCACATGGAGAGAGTACCTCTTTGCATTTTTGCTTATAGGAGTAATGCGTCTTTTTAATTATGTAACTGTTTGTGTTTTGAATAGCTCAAAAACATCATATCTTATGTGTTATATAACCAAACATATATATTATGTATATAACTTATAATAGTTATTATTTTAGGAAGAGTATAAAAATGAAATAGATTTTAATTATCGTTATTGTTAGGGACTTCACGGAACATCGGGGCTATGTATTACAATTTGATCACTCCTATGTCCCGAGAATTCCGTAGCAGTTATAGTTATAGTTATAGTTATACTTATACTTATAGTTATAGATATAGTTATAGTTAAAAGGAATAAAAAAATGAAAAGAATAGTATATCGAATGTTTATAGTTTCATATAGAATAAATAATATAAACTTAACTAATAAATACCCCTTTTATCACTTTGAGTTATGACTACCACTGAGGGCTACATAAACAGGTGTCGACCCAGAGTCTGGATATCAAAGCTACATAGGAATATATTCAGAAAGCCAAAAGGGCAAGCAGCTTCTCGGGCCGGGCAGAAACCTCACCTAAAACCCAGCACCTGCGTATAATGGAAATCTTTCGATACTGATTGTCATATCGGTTTCTTCTGCTTCTCTTGTAACTTGCGTAATAGACTGGCTTCTTACTCGCACATGGACGCCCAAATTTCGGAATACACCAGTGTTTTCCCACACACAACAGTCTTGAATTCCGTTCATTGAACGTAGCAAATGTGTTTCCAGAGCTGTATGATACTGATTTTTTTACTGCAAATTCGAGCACCCCTCTTTTTTATTGTTTCCCGGGCAGCACGGAATATTCGCACGGCTTTCCTGGGATCAACTGGAGCCTGATTTCGCGGAGGCCCATTCCATGACGCAACTTTGGACCCTGTGCTTTTTTATTCATTGCAGCTATTTCCTGTGGGTTTTTCAGCCATTCATCTAAACATATGACGGCGTGTATGTCGGGTATATTCCAGCCCACTGGCTTGCTACCTGGGATTTCGAGTCGTCTGTTCACTCAATCTATTGTGGATGTTTAAATGCCAATTTGCTGTGGCTGCGCGCTGCAATGGCCCCAGATTAGTGGAGCGGGCCTTGCCTATACCCCCATCATTAAGAACCCCTCGTTCCAGCTCGATGTCCAGAAAATTACTACAGCAGCTCTTAGTAGAAACAAATGAAAGGAAAAAAATAAGGGAGAGGAAGAAAGGAAGGAAGGAAGGAGGGAGGGAAGGAGGGAGGAAGAAAGGAAGGAAGAAATCAAAAATGGAAGAGAGGAAGAAAAAAGATAACAAGAATAAAAGAAGAACGCAAGAAAAGCGCCGACCGTAATTCTAAGACAGTGTTTAATTTTTTAAATACTTGCTAATAGTTTTTAGCTTTATTTGCTATATTCTTGTCAGACATTCTCCAGATTACTAAAATAAATGTTAAGGAAGGATTTATCGTGAATAAATTTCGGAATAAGTCATGAGGTATATAATTTAGGATCAGGAAAAGTAATGCTATTATCTTCAGCAAATCTTTGATCTAAGTTTTACTAAAATTTACCTGTCAAGCGCAGTTTTGATTCTATGACAACTACTATAAATACTAACCTGATATGAGCTGTCGTCCAATTTGATAGCTATTCTATCATAAATTCACCTAATATTTGAGGTAAAATATTTTCTAAATTATGGTAACGATTATCTTCACTAGCGTATTTCTCAATAGACTATTATCAATGATCTAAACATCATCAGGTTAAATAGTACATCCATGAGGATCTGAGTCTATAGGGTCTAGGAATTTATCACTGATAAATGTAGAATCTTCTTTATTAATAAAATATATAAAACATCAAAATCTAGTGATTGCTACATACAGAGATATATATTGCTGTCTATCAATTAATTGTGGCCTGATGTCACCTTTGTTAGTAATAAGAAAGATAGCTCTTGTAAGATAAAGGCTTGTTGCGAACATACTATTGTGTCAATAGTTAAGAAGGTTTATGCATGAAATATGTAGTATTAGCCATAATTCCAGTCATCTTTTGATTGACGGTTTTCTATCAGTAGTATTTGAGCTAACAGTCATGGTATTCACTGTTTTTTACCATCTACAATGTTTTGACGTAAGTTTCTACACATTAGAGGATAAGATGTTTTACATTTTTTGTAGAAACTCCCAACTTCACTGTAAGTATAATGATCCATTGCTTTTCTCAATGCACATTAATTAGGAGAAGTTAAAAATAATCACCTCAACCATGTATTATAGGGTTAGTTAACTTAATAAACTGAGTTGGAGCTAATTTAGTGTATGTTAAGCCAGCAATGGCTTTGATACTATCAAATCTTTGTACACTTTCTTTGAAAAGGTATACATACAGTTTAGTTATGTCTGATGATCTAGTGGAAGTGATTTGGGTACATCTGCTAATCAATCAGCTTTATTAGGCGAAACAAAATGAAATGTGCAACCCAAGAATTTTTAGAAAATAATTTAGCACCCATACTCCATTTGACAATCTTAGTTGTATCAGTATTTAGTTCTGAGCCTCTAGTATAAAATCTTTCAATACCTTCCCCAGCTTTTACAGGACCTTGATGATCTGGACTTATAAAAAAACATCAGCACATCTCACCAAATGCGTAGACCCAAGAATATCAATCATCTAACATAGGTGATATTCTGCCTCCTTGGGTACACCTTCAATCATCTTTGGGCAATGCAACTATTCCAACTTTGGGTTTTGATGCTTTATGGTTTATGCCACTATCCCGTGCTAGCCAGAAGCAGTTATTGCCAAAGTCTGATATATACCCCTTATCTTGTTCACCATCTGTCTCTATTGTAGTAGTCTCAATAAAGTCATGTAATAGTTTGTCCAGACTCGGGGCACCAAGAAGTTCGCAGCAAGTGCGCGCGGCCCCACAAACCAGGGCCTACCGCGAAGCCGGCCCCAAAAAACAAGGGCCTACTGCTTTTCTTCCCGCCACCCCAGCAACACCATGAAAGCACCCGTTTTTCTTGCGCTCTGGGCGGCCGCCAGCGCGCTCTCGCTCAACTTTCTAGCGGGGCTTTTCTCCGAGACCCCCGACCGCGTGATCAAAACCGGGCCCGAAACTTACCGCTTGGCGTCCGAGGCCGACAAGCTCAGATTGAAGAGAAACGGCCACAAATTCATCGACGTCACGGGCGTGCTCTCCGTGGAAAGCGCGCTCGCGCAGGGCATCATTGCCGGCGCCGGAAACGGCGACTGGACCCACGTTTTCGCCAAGCAGATCGACACCTTGAAGCGGCCGGTGCCCGCGTACAAATACCCGCTGGCCCCGCGCCAGCACGCGGTGGTGCAGGCTCTTGTGGGCCGCGTGGACCTCGAGCGCGTGCGGGCCAACTTGGCCCGCTTCTCCGGCTTCTACACGCGCTACTACAAGTCCGCGTCGGGCGTGAAGTCGGCGGACTGGCTCCACGCGCGGGTGTGCGAGCTTGTGGCGCCCGTTGCGGGCGCCCAGGTGCAGAAAATCAAACACCGCGGCTGGGACCAGTACTCGCTCGTGGTGTCGCTCCCGGGCGCGGCCGCGGACCGCGTGGTTGTGGGCGCCCACCAGGACTCCATCAACCTCTTGTTCCCCAGCCTCATGGCCGCGCCGGGCGCCGACGACGACGGCTCCGGGACCGTAACCTCCTTGGAGGCGCTCCGCTTGGTCTGCGGCGCCATTGCCGCGGGCGAGTTCGCGCCGCACAACACGTTGGAGTTCCACTACTACTCGGCCGAAGAGGGCGGCTTGTTGGGTTCCCTCGATGTGTTTGGGCGCTACGCCGACGCCAACACCACCGTGGTGGGCATGCTCCAGCAGGACATGACCGGCTACACGCAGGGCACGCGCGACGGGGGCGTGGAGCCGCATTTCGGCTTGATCACCGACTACACCTCGACCAGGCAGAACGACTTCATCCGCATGGTGGCAGCGGCCTACTGCCTGATCCCGGTGCACGAGACCGAGTGCGGCTACGCGTGCCTGGACCACGCGGCCGCGTTGGAAAACGGCTACCCGGCCAGCTTCTTGATCGAGAGCGAGTTCAAGTACTCGGCCAAGCACATCCACCTGACCATGGACACCATGGACCGCTTGGACTTCGACCACATCCGCGAGCACATCAAGTTGACCGTCGGGTACGCCGTGGAGCTTGCCGCGGCGCAAGACCTCTACTAGGCGCGCGGCGGGACGCGTTACTGGGGGCGGGCTGGCCTGCGCCGGCGCCTTACTGCATTACTTCTGTTATATTGGTGGCCGGGCTCATAGCCCGGCGCTACTTAACTTGGCACACGTGAACAACGCGGCTTTGGGCCGCTGTCGCCCGTCGGGGCACCGCTCGAAGAAAACAGGGGGTGCTGGCTGCGCCGCGATCACTCTTCGGTCTCGGGCTCCTTCTTCTTGGGGAAGCGGAGCACCTCGTAGCGGGTCTGCGTCATGGTCGTGTACACCAGCTTCTCGCCGGCCTCGTCTTGAACGGTCTTCTGTTTGATGTCGGCCTCGGCATAAATCTGCGCACCCTTCTGCATGTGGGCCTCGAAGAAAGCCACCTGCCTGTCGTCAAAGACGGTCACGTTGTACCAGTCGGTCACGTTCGAGGAGCCCTCCTGTGCCTCGTTGGGGGCAAACCTGTCCACAGCCAAGGAGTACGTGATGAAGGGGCGGTTGTCCTTGGTTTCCTTGTGATGGATGCTTCCGATGCGGCCCACCAATTGCACCTTGGCGAGGTTTTTGCGGGCGGTGGAGGAGAACGCGCGGGTGGCGGCAAAAGATCTGAGCATGTTTTTGGGCGGTGGCTTGGATAGTATTGGATGAGAAAACCCTCTTGCGGGCGGGTGAGGATGTTTTGAGTGTGTATCTGCTCGACCCGAGTCGTGCGCAGCCGGCGCGCCGCTGCTGGCCTGGTCCAAATGGGACAATGGTGCGACCGTTTCGAAGGACGCGGCCTGCCCAAGCAGGCAAATTGCCGCGTCTCTGGGGGTCCTGCACACGCCGTCCCAGAGGCCTGGTGAGGGTAGTGGAGAAAAGGCATGGAGAGAAAATGGTGGAGAGAAAATGGTGGAGAGAAAAGGGTGGAGAGAAAAGGGTGGAGAGAAAATGGTGGAGAGAAAATGGTGGATAGAACGTGGTGTGCGGAGCCTCTGTAAAGGGTCTATTAGACTCTAATGGAGATGCGCGATCGCAGGGAGGGACTGGTTGTCGAATTCTACTAAAACATCTCCAGGGCCACGCGCAGAGTTGCCTGCACTGGCTTGCGGCAAAGCGCCGGGGCAAAACACATCATGGAGCACGGCCATCTCTATTCACCCGTGGGCCCAGTCATATGTCGTTCCACGTGCCACTGCTGCCGCCGCACATGACTGGCGACGACGAGGCGGTGTCCGAAAACTCGGTCTCCGCATGCACTCGCTGCCGTAGGTTGACACGTGACAACGTGTTGACTATGTAGTCGTCCACCAAAGACCCGGGCGAGCGCAACAAGTCTTGCCACTTGAGGAGCCTCAAGAGCCGCGGGACCAATTCCGGGTCGCTGGCGTCGACGCCGTTGCGGCAGAGCGACTGGCGCAAAACGGCGCTGCTGCGCTGAAACCGGATGTACTCGATTCTGGACATGTTCTTGAAATACTCGTCGCCGTAGTAAGCGGGCACCCGCCGAAGCACGGGCGTCTCCAAGACCTGGCCAACAAGATCCTCGTCTAGGTCCCACGAGGCCACGTTGTCAGAAACAGAAGTGTCGGTGGTTTTTTGCCACTCGTTGATGCGCCTTGATAGCGCCAGGTCGTTTATTAGGCCTTCGTGCGACACTTGGGACAGCGCAATCTGGCTGCCGCTGAAGTGCCTCCTGGGTCCTACGGCGGAAACGGCATCCTCGCGGGCCTCCAGCAGAAATCCGTCGTCTTCTGTGCTTGTGAACGGGTGTTCGGTGGACAACGATAAGATATCGAAGGGGCGCAGCTCGGCCGGGTTGAACACCACCCATGAAGTCTGCGAGTCGGAGAAGAACGACGACGCCCGGTCTTCCGAAACGGTTCTCACAGACGGCTTGCGCCGGGCTTCCATAACGGGATTGAACGCCATGGCTGAGACGGTAGTGGAGTAAGCGGTGCCACTTTTGTATCCTGGACTTTAACTAGGGTTCCTGGGCTCTGGCTAGATTTCCTGAGCTTTGACTGGATGGGCTTTGACTGGATGTCCTGGGCTTTGACTGTATGTCCTGGACTTTGGCTGGACTTCCTGGACTTTGACTGGATTTCCTGGGCTTTGACTGGATTTCCTGGACTTACACTGGATTTCCTGAACTTCCACTGGATATCCTGGGCTCTGGTTATCCGCGGTTTAAACCAGTGAATCTTTCGGGACAATAAGGCTCAGGCCGCAGTCGGTTGCTATGTGCTATGCGGCAAATGCAAATGTTCCAGATATGCCAGGGTGCGTTGTGGTGGTTCTTTATATCAAAGGCCCGTTTGCAGCCAAATGTAGTTGCGCTGCGTGGATCCAAAATACGGAGGAAAAACAGATGGACTAAATGAGAAAAGAAAGGCCCGCTGGTTGGAAGATTTATACTGTTGTGCCCGACGTGCAAGCAGAAGCCTAAGGAGGACTAGCAGATAAGCGCTTATCTACCAGACCAGACGTGGACACAGTGACGTCGCGGAGTCAGGCCGCATCTCGGAGCACAGGCTCATTGGGCCCAGCCAATATCACGACACCAAACGAGAGAAAAAAAAAGAGAAATTGCAAGCCAAATGAATTAGCCGCACGGCCGCTCGATCTATACACGGGCCCGGTTATCCCCAAGAATTTTTGTGGTTGTGGAGCTTTTTTTTTCAGGTCTGGTTTATTGGGCCTGTTCAATTGGGCCTGGTTTCGTCGGCCCCAGTTTCTTGGGCCAACTGTCTTGGGCCCACCTCATGCTCACTCTTTTGGGCCCCTCCACGCATGGCTTATCTCCGCTTTTCCCCAACTTATTGCTCTGCGGTGTGCAGTATGGCCCAATATACATCACCGAACTGGATTCGCTCCACTGGCCATGAGAAGACGTGCTTAGCTTTGCAAACTCTACTCGGCCAAAAGGAAACTACCTAGCGAAGCAGGAAATTTATCGGGCTCAAAAATCTCTGTTTGCGGAGCATTCACACTATGGCGCACCATAGACTAGCGCACTCACTAGAGCGGCCTCACTAGAGCGGCCTTACTAAAGCACCCTAACTAAAGCACCCTCACTGAGCGGCGCTGCGCGGTTCGCCCACGTCCCCAGCTATCCCCGCACCCGTGCACCATGGGATATTGCCCTTAGTGTTTTGTCCGCGGCCGTTACCCGCACTGCGCGCGAAGAACGAAGAAAAAGTGACTTTGGATCACCAGCTTCTTTTCTCTGACCTCATACCACGCTACGGAGAGTAAGAGAGGCCTCTTACTCTGTGTGGTGTGGTTTTGACCAACTATGCTTAATGATGATAATTTTATATGGCTGACAGAAACTGAAGATTTTTATAAACTCGAAATTAGTCTTTCACCCCTATCTGAATGCATGGTCAAAACTGCACTGCAGAGTAGCTGAGATTTACTTGGTCTATGCCAAAGTCTGTTTAACACTCAGTTGCCAATGTCTTTTTGACACTCGCTCTATGTCAAAGTTGCCCTTTTCGTTTCGGCTGATTTATTTGATAAAGGGGGTGGATCCACATACCTGTAAAACATCTCACAGCCCCAGTAGACGGGGCAAACACGATCATCCCTGCTGTCGTGTACACTGTCCTGGCAAGCAAATGCTGGTAAATCTTGATGAAGCACTCTTGACAAAAATTTTAAAAAAAATCCTCGACTAAAAAAGTCAAAAATTAAGTGACACGGACAGGAATCGAACCTGCAACCTTTTGATTTGGAATCAAAAGCTCTACCATTGAGCCACCGCATCTTCCTGTGATCAATTAAGTGCAGCAAAATACTCATTTTAATGTTGAAAAAACGCCAAGTTTTAGAAACAGCTGAAATAAATTCACAGAAAAAACATAAAGGAACGCTCAATTGAAAGGCGATAAAACAGTCATTGAGGTAGCTCACGGGAGAGGCCGGGCTGAGTTTCGAAACTTGGTATAAAAAAAAAAAAAAAGGTATGTAGCTAGGAACTGTGCAAAGGTTGTTTTATATGTTTTAGTTGTATAGTTTTGCTCCTGATGTTTCTTTTGAAAAAATTCTTTGATAAAATGAATCAGCCAAAAACACCGTGTCTGGGAGCTGTTCAAAGGTTTTTTTTATATTTTAGCTGTATAGCTTTGCTTCTTTAATCAGGTGAATGTACCAAGACAAAAAAAAGCACGAGAGCCGTACATCACCCAGAAAGCTCACGATACAATCATGACGAGGTCAAAAAAAAGCTATCAAAAAATCGACGGCGGGAAAAAAAGAGAAGGAATACATTATTAAAAAGCTGTTCAAGTTCTGGAACAGCAAAAGGCAAAAGAAGCAGACCCCGATAATGCTACAGCGCTTCGTTCATTCATGTCCCACTGTCCGTCAGAACAAGCAGTAGAAAAATTATATAAATCAGAATGGTTGAAGAGGTGCAATTCATTTTTTATACGTCACTTCAATTTAGGATCATATTCCCCTGTCGGTCTTTACCACGAGAGACATCGGCTTTCCAGTGTCATATTTGCACACACCAAGTCTATAACAATAGAGACACCATGGGCGCCTTCCTTAACCCTCGGAAGCGTATAAATACTTTTGGCAAAAACTCAAATATGCCAAGCCCAAATAGCTCGTCACAGGTATACACTTAAAGACGTGGCGAAATACAGAAAGTGAGATCCCTGAGTCCTTTCTTATCTTCTGGGTTGAAGTGACTACTATAAAAGACTCATCCTAGGAATCGATGGCGTACTATTATGCACGGAAACAGACGCGTACCGAGAGGACCATTCAGGGCTCTATTAGCGGAAGGAAACGGGCCCAGTTTCCACACTAGATGTGGTTTTGGGAGCCGATTATGTGTATTTTTGCCAATACCAATTTGTTCTTGTTTTTGTTTTGTTACTTCCTTGATTATCCAAAACATATTAGCCGCAACTATTGTGTGATTATGCCTGTCAGCGGCATCCTAGGACACTAAAATCCCCTACTTGGAAAAGATGGTTCCTTCTTCACTAATTCTTGCTTCCCATCTACTTCCATGCTGACTCCCAATTTGAAATCTTTTCTAAACCTAATCTTGTGCAAACCCAAGATTCTTATTAGTTCAATTATCTCACAAGTGTTTTAGTGAGCAAATCGAACTTTTAAATTCCTCATTGTCAAACTCCGCAAAACGTTGTCCGCGATCCTGTGCAGTTATGCTATCTCGCTACAGCCCAATAAATCGAATGTACAATAGCATCCGCCACAAAGTGGCACGGTTAAACTGACGGTCTGTTCAAATCTAATTTGTGATATTCCTGCACTGAACTAGTCATGAAACTTTCTTCGTTTTCATATTATTGCGTGAAGCAGTTTAGCAGAAATTGCTGCCGATTATTCAGTGACGCGGTCAGCGTCTCAGGCAACGAATAAGTGTAAGATCCGACTGTAGTCATGTTTGAACTCAAACACCCTGATTAGACGTGCATATATGGAATACTCCGTCATGCAGACTAATTTATTTCCGTCGCATTGAGTGGCCTACGACCCAAGCTCAGTCCCCCGGAAATCCACTAAAACTTAGTCTCTGTATATATTCTTAAACTTCCTAACTCATAGTGTTACGTTGATCAATTTCTTTTCTTTTGGTCTGTGTCTGGATTTTTGCCGGAGATATGCAACTTTGGGACATGTGCCTCGGAAGTTGTTGAGATACATTTTTAACGGTCCATGTCTAGCTTTTCGCGGAATTCAAAATGTTTATTTCGACATAAGGAAGTAGACACATGCCCCACATCCCAGCACCACAGAACCTCCAGTACTAGAAAGCTTCACTAATTCACAGACTGCTTTCTCCGAAATAAAACACTCTTCACCGACGCCCGCCGAAATCAGCCGTTATCCAAAAGACCCGTGCACCGGCCTGCACACGGCGGCATACTTGAGTCTCGATAGTTCAGAGTCGGTTCCCAGAAAACCGTATTTTAGCAGGCTTTGATAAACACTGGCACCACACTCGCACAATGAAGATTGCCTCGTTCAGCTCTGCGGTGCTATTGGCCGCATCGGCCGTTTCTGCAGCCAGCAATATTGCCGTGTACGAATTCCCCGGCAAGCACAATGCCGAGGTGCCCCGGGTGTCGTTGAAGTCCTCGTTGTTATATTTGGCAGACAAGTTTGGCGCCGGCGAATACTACTCTATCGGCCACAAAGACAAGGCTGTGGAATTTCTTGATCTCGTGCATGGAAAGGAGGCCGGGAAACCGGACTTGTTGGTCATCCTTAAGGGTGTGGACACCCCCGAACGGATCCTCGACGACTGGGCGCCGACTTTCGAGATCGAAACGGGCACAAACAAAAAAGTGGCGCCTGGTCTCGTCAAAGTGCTTTTCAAAAAACTCCCCAAGCAAGTGGCGGGGGCCCAGTCCGCGCTGCGGGTGTCGCACTTGACCGAGGAACTCAAGTACGTTTCTTCGGGCTTTGCTGGAGGTGACGACATGCCTCAACAGTTCAAGCACTTCAACCTCGAGTTGCCGCAAGCCTGGGCCAAGTTGGTCAGGCACTCTGCCGACGAGGCCGAGAACACTCAGCACGTGATGGGTGCGCTGTCGTCCGGCTTGAAGCTCGTCAACGACAAGCTCTACATCAACGAAATCATGCAGATGGTCAAGTTGGGCTCCTCGGAAAACCACACGGATGCATTTGCCGTGGCCAACTTGGACTCTCTCCTTTCGATCGGCCACCGTATCGGATACAACTCGCGTACTTACAATGTGGCCAAGGGCGCGTTGCTCCAGAGCATCGTGGCGTTGGACTCCAAGTTTGACATCACGCTTGTGGCCGTGGGCCCCGACCACAAAATCGCGTCCGACCACCTGCAATTGCTGAAGAGAGCCAGCGAGCTTGACGGTGTGTTCTCCACGTTTTCCAAAAGAGGCACCAGTGGCGCCAACTCCTGCTTTGCCAACGAGGCCGAGTGTGATGCTTCCACCAAAAGCTGCAGCGGCCATGGCTCCTGCACGAACGTGCAAGAGGGCTGCTGGCAATGTTTGTGCTCGGCCACTCAGGACAAGAAGACGTCCAAAACTACGAAGTGGGCCGGGTACGATTGCAGCAAGAAAGACATTGCAGCACAGGCACATCTCTTGTTGTGGACATCTGTTGTCTTGTTGGCCACGTTGGTTGGAGGAGTCAAGCTTCTTTTTGGCGTGGGCAGCGACGCATTGCCTGGAGTTTTGCAAGCCGCCACCATCGACACCTCGAGATAATTCCTTGTGCAGGGTTGCCGGACCAGACATAATACATAACGTGGACTCAAATCGAGAAGCTTGCCAAGCGGCTGCTTCGCCACCTCTTCATTTCTCGAGTTTAAGCAGAAATTTATTATACACCGAAAGTTATTAGTGAATGTAGATTCTACGGACGATACAGTGCAACAGAGTGCGAGACATCTTTTTGAATCTTTTGCTTCAGACGTCACAAGCGTGAACCTGCTCTCATGGATATGCTTGAGAACGTCACTCATACTGTTGACTACTGTGTCTGGAGGTCGTCCCCTCAGAGCCAGCAGATATTTGTCATGTGCTGAATAAAAATGGTGGGGTTTGAAATCTCGGAGGAGAGAACAATCTTGGGCAGAACAAAACCTCCAGCTGAGTATATTTTGAGTGCTAGGAACTAAACACCCATGATGTAATTTTGAATTTTGTTTTTGAGATGAAGTTAATCTTGGTTTTCAGAAAGCAACATCCATCTTTATCCGTACAGTGCGCAGTGATAAAATCGGCACTGGTACACGTAAGCCTTGCTTTAGTAACTTCTGCAGTATCAAGGCTTTCCAAGTATACTTGGGGTTGTTAATCCACGACCTGAAGCTCCAATAACTAATACACCAGTATGTTCGAGGGGCTCAGTTTTGATACCACAACATCATGAGTTGGCTGCGGAAATTGATGAAAAAATTAAGTTCAGAAAAACAACAACAGAAAACTTCAATCAGAGGTTCTATTTCTTGCGGGTGTACTCAGCTCTTCACATGTCTTTGAAAGGATGTTCAAATACCCATGTGCGACATTCCAATTAAAATGCTCTTGATGATAAAGCCTGAGAGTAGAAGACCGGCTATAGTTACCACCTTCTATGCCGCATAATTTCTTGCACTCATAGACAGCAGTGGAAGATATTCCGAACTCACAGATATCTATGGTCGTAGAATTCTTCCCTCTCAATAATGATAAAGCTAAATTCTGAAGGCTACGTCAGGGTCATGAATAATCGCGATTCATTGAGTTATAATCGATTTGAATGCATATAAATTGTGACAATGTATAGCTGGTGGCTGAGGGTCCAGTCGAAGGAAAACATTTTGCAACCATTTCAGTGACGATAAAGGCATATATGGCACTTATATAGTTATACTTAATCGAGGATTCTCTTCGCCTTATAAGCCCCGTATCTTTCGACATGTTACTTAGAAGTCATTGCAACAAGAAGCAGCTATGTGCTTCAGAGATCATTAGATCCTATGTTAAGCCCAATGAATGTGTGAACGCATTTGTGTAGCTGCGTCGTCAAGAAATGTAATGTGTCCACAATCAAATTACCAGCTGATAAGACAAATCTTTGGGATGTAATTTCTACTTGTATGTTTTGGTTTACCCCCAGACCTTCGATCCGACGCAAAACATGGCTATCTGCCACTTCGCCTCACTAGTATCAGTAAAACGCATTACCAAACCCGCCGCACCCAAATATGTGATACTGGGGCCTTTTTCTTACTTCTAAAAGGACCAGACACTTAACGCAAAAGAAAACAAAAATCTTGTATCAACCCGTTTTTACCACATGCTATGCTTATTACCTCAGGCTTATCTAGGTCATGTGACCCAATTGGGCTGGATGTCGCATATGCGGCTTGCGCGGACAGGAAAGATGATCAAACGTGCTCCACATCAGGCATCTCCAAGACTGTCAGAACTATCCTTTCTACGAAACCACACAACCAAGCACCATGTCGAGATCCAGCAGTAGACTGGTTTTTTCGCTCGTGGTTTTTCTTTGCGTTACATGTGCTATATACTTTGTAGCAACGGGCGACTCACAATCATTGGGCCAGGCAGGAACCTGGATGTCTCTTGAACTGTTTCAAGACCCAAAAGTCCCTAGTTCAGAGGAGCCTAGCTTCCAGCCTGCTGAAAAGCTCCCAGAGGAAATAACAGAGGAGTCGATTCAAGGTGAAACAGAGCCCAACGAGAAGCCTGACGAGGAATACAAGGAGACCGAAGATTCTAAGGAGGAGTCTTTCGAGGATTCAAAGGAGGAGTCCAACTTACAACCAGCAGATGGCTTCACCGAGACTCCATTCATGCCCAAAATGGCCAACGAAACGCTAAAGGCCAAACTTGGAAATTCGGCGTGGCACTTGTTCCACACCGTATTGGCAAGGTACCCAGATGAACCAACGGTTCTGGAAAAAACAACTTTGAAACTGTACATCCATCTTTTTGCTCAGGTATATCCCTGTGGAGACTGTGCCAGGCACTTTTCGCAGTTGTTGAAAAAGTACCCTGTCCAAGTCGGATCACGGAAAACGGCTGCGTTATGGGGATGTCACATTCACAATAAAGTGAATGAGCGCTTGGAAAAGCCCGAGTATGACTGCACGAAAATCTTGGAAGACTATGACTGTGGATGCGGGGCCGACGAAAAGGAACAGGACGATACCTTGGGAGACGAAAGCGCAGAGCACTTGCGGATGATTACTTTGGATGAAATAGAGGGAAAACAGCTTGGCGGATAGACAACAGAGTCTGAATTAAGGGTTTCACCGCTGCTTTCAGTTCCTCAGAAAAGCTGTGACTTTTGATATAACTGGAGGGGACTTGAACTACATCGCAGAGCAGCCAGGCAGCTGTGGCTCAAGTGCTTTACATAGGATATTGATTCGTTTCTTATATTCCTCGTTTCTCTTGTGTCTCCGGCATCATTTTGAAGATATATCCTTGTGCTCTGGAGCAGCTGAATTTCACTTCTGCAAAAGATGGGTCATTAGATCTCACAAGGACGCATTCTTAGGGGTTTCAACCAGCAATTTCCCTATTCAAACAATCGTACAGCACGAAACGTTTTTCCCACTACTCATGCCTTTTGCTTCCTGGAACACTCGATACCGATTTAACTCCGGAGGTAGATGCCAAATGGACGGAATTAGTGGGTCGGGAATATCCTGAGATGCTTGTATAATCAATGCAGCGGCCCTTGACGCAGGAATCCTGTCTTTCTTCAAGGAAAGCCTCAACTTTTCATTGAGCTGCTCGATCCGGCGGATTTTCAAGTCCAAAATACGTTCGTCCATCCTGGTCCACGACGTCAAGCGAGAGACGGAAGAGGAAAAACCGCCTCAAAATCCGAAACCACCAAAACAGGAAACACCCTGCATACAGCAGGCGCCCTCCCCCTCAGGCCGATACGGTGCGGCCCAATTTCTGCAGGTGCAAGGATGACACTTGGGGCCAGCAACCGGGGACTGGCTGCAGGACGAAGTACGTTTAAATTCATGTATGCTTTAACACTGGATAGGCGAGTGGGTTCTCGTGAGTGTATCGTTGGAGTAGGGAATGTAGATGCCAGTTATAGGAATGCGAGAGATGACCTCTACTTCATGGTTGGCGGGGTCTCGTAGATTGTCGCAATGCTTTTATGTTTGAATACAAATTCCATGTATAGATTGCCCACCTTGAGGATAAAGACAAAATCACGATCCATTCCAAGACACATTCGGAAGAAATGCCTCAGAGACTTCGAAGGAATCATTTTAGAGAATTCGAAGAAGTCGTTTTGAAGAATTCGAAGAAGTCGTTTTGAAGAATTCGAAGGAGTCATTTTGAAGAATTCGAAGAAGTCATTTTAAAGAATTCGAAGAAGTCATTCCGAAGAATTCGAAGGAATCATTTCGAAGAATTCGAAGGAATCATTTTGAAGAATTCGAAGAAGTCATTCCGAAGAATTCGAAGGAATCATTTTGAAGAATTCGAAGGAATCATTTTGAAGAATTCGAGGAACTCATTTCAAAGAATTCGAAGGAATCATTCTCAAGAATTCGAAGGAGTCACTTTAAAGAATTTAAAGAATTCAAAGGAATGATTTCAAAGAATTCGAAGGAATCATTTCAAAGACACCATCTAGGTGTTCGGACCCGCAATACTATTTCAAACTTCCAGGAAACCGGTAAGGTCGACAATCCCAATCCACACAGTTAGAGACGACGTTTCAAGCACACCAATGCATAGATACAGTAAGTAACAGCCGGCAGCCAAACATGAGCCACCCTACTATTTCCCACTCACATGCAAAGAGTGCTTCCCGCGTCTTTTGAGACTGACGGGATTGGCCTAGCCGTAGACAATCTCCTGGAAGCTCTCCTTCATGAAATTCTACGACGAAAAGTATAGACCGAGAATGCATAGCGTAATCACCGTGGCCATGATCATGGTATCTCTCTTTCGCCGCGTGTTGATCCTCGAGACCAAGACATTGATCCCCGGAATCGTCAGAATTGTGCCCTGGATTCGGGACAGCGCGTTCTGGAGAAACGCCCGCTGGCTGAGGAGCTCGTCCCTGGTCTCATAGGCCTGCTGCAAGAGCCTCTCTGCAAAAGAGTTTGCCGCGTCGACTCGCCTGCCTTCGTCCAAAGCATACTCGTTGGCGTTTTCCGCGGCCAGCGAGACGTTCCGCTGCTTGTGCGCCGAGATGTCCGACTGGACCAGGAACAAGAGATTGTTGCGGTTGCGCTCGTCGTTGATCCGCGCCTGGATCTTCAAGAACGAGCTGCGGTCCGCAGCCAAGATTTCTCTGTGGCGCTGCAACTGCTGTAGTTTGGAAGTCGAGATGTTGATGTCCGAGTCGCAGATGCGGCCCAATCGGGCCACCACGTCCTCGCGCTTGGCAAGCACATCGGAGATCTGGCCCACCAAGCCGGTCTCCTCGGCATCAGGCTCCACAGAGTGGCCCACCTGCTGGAGCTTCGAAAACCGGCTCAAAAGCAGCTGCGTGGTGTTCTCGAAACTGATGGCGGAGTTTCTCGTCTGCGTGAAAGAGGCCGACGACATTTCGTGAGATGCTGAGCGGTGTTTCAGAGGAATTGAGCGTGAGAGTGAGAGTTAAGGGGTGGTGACTTGAGTATTTGCTGAGACGTGGAGGAGCGGTGGCAGCGGAGAGGGCATGCGCGGGCCGCGCTGGAGCCAGGCCCTGGGGCGAAAGGCGAAAGTGAGGGCCCAATGGAAACAAACGAGGCGTGAGCTTTTTTTTTTTTTGGCGGGCCTGGATTTTGGGACTTCTAGAGATATTTAGGCGGTGCGGTGGACCGGGCTTGGGGCAGGATTTTGCGGGGAAGGGGCTGCAATCGGTTTTATTGGTGGTGTCTCTGCGTTCTCTGCCACCTTGCCTGGCTGAAACGGGGCCTGGGTGGCAGGTGCGCGAGGCCCTGAGCCAGGGCTGTTTTCGGGGCAGCGCCAGTGCGGGAGAGCGGTGTCTATGATACACACAGCCGTACTGCGGATGGTGGAGTGAACAAAAAGGGAAAACGTCTTGATTGACGAGTGGACAAATGAAACTATGTGAGGTTTTGGTGAGAGATTTGGGGAAAAAAATTAAAAGATACACATCTTGATGTGGTGATTCGGTGATGTGAAGCAAGAATTGACCAACAGATTAGTGATTTGGTGACGGACGTGTACATAAGTATAGACATGGAATGTGAGATGTGGCGAAATAATTATGGGAAAACAACGATGTGATTTGAGATCTGGTGAAATAATTATGGGAAAATAACGATGTGATTTGGGATGTGGAGAAATAATTACAGGAAAAAATGATGTGATTTGAGACCTGGTAAATCTATCTCACCTTCGAGAAATGTAAATTCGATGTGATTATCTTGTTTTGATGTACCAGTTGATATGATGATTTGTTGATGCTGGAAGACATGACAGTTCGAAAGAACTTGATGGCTCCGATGTGGCTGTATGAATATAGGTGTACGTGCGGATATGTTTGTTGTGTCAAGTGCATTGCTGCAACTGCTTCCATATTGATATGCTATATGGGACTTGATGTTCGTAATTCTTTATGACACATGCTGTACATTACCTGGCTGCCTTGTATCATGCACCTTCTGATAGTCACATCAACACGTTGACAAGAATGATTTTTCGTGAACGGTTGTCGTCAATAATCTGCTACAATGGTCGATGGAAATAGTCGTGGTAACCTGGATTAGGCGGCCGAAACAAACTGAATAAACGGTCGGAATTAAATGAACCAGAAGGTCGAAATAAGTTAAATTCGAAATAACCTATATACATGGTCAAAATGAGCCGGCATAAATGGATAAACGATCGAATTATCCACAAATTCTCATCACACCCCCTCTATTCACAAGAATCCTTCGCTGCAAATCATTTTCAAAAGTGGTTCAAAATGTTCAATCTGATAAATGGCACCTTTCAGTTCATCGTTATGGACGAGCCCTGTCGTATGATGCGTCTCAGCTCTTGCTTCTTCCAGCTCTCTTGCCTTTTCATTCAGAGCCGCGACCTTGGTCACTTGGCGCCGGGGCCTTCTTCACTTGGCGCCGTGGGCTCGAAACCAGGCCCCGCGCGGCCCTCCATGGCATAGACTTTACAGTGCACCGACTGTCAACACAACTTAATGAACCCAGACCAATTGACCCGTTCTTGCCCAGCACCCGCCAGCTACATAACTGGAAGTCCACCAAAGAAAAAAAAAATAGAAAAAAAAGAGAATCTTCACTATCGCTTCTGGTGCTCCCCACCTGCCCACCTCCATTCTTTCGTGGCCCTGGCCCCATGCGCGCGGCCATCGCCCGCTTATCATTCCGCCCCATGCGATTGGGCCCATGCTCTCTGGTCGAAAATAGACTGGCAGTATTCGACACCACAAGAATCCTGTTTTGCCGCCGTTTCTGCCGCCGAACACCCACACACCCACATGTCTCTCCTGGACCTAACGCAGGTGGTTCCACAGCCCTTGGAACGCGCCTTCACAGACCCCCAGCCGCATGCTGGCGAGCCGTCCAAGAAGAAGCGCGATCTCATGAGACGGGTTCTCCTGGCCCTCCAGAAAGCACAGAAATACTCCGCGTACGGCTTCCTAGCGTTCTTCGGGCTCCACGTGTCCTCGGTGGTCGTGGCGCCTGCACTTGGCTTCAGTGCAGAAAAGTGCCAGGACCTCTTTGAGATGACCCGGGCAGTCTACTTGTCTCCCCTCTTCGAGTACTCTGCCACCTACGCCACGGCCGGGGTTCACGTGGCATGCGGCGTTTCGGCACGGGTCATTCGGAGCGTGTTTGCGCCGCCCAGAAAAGCGCCCCGGGCCGAGAGAGACGTGGTCATAAAGGACCAGCATAGAGACGACATAGGTCTTGGGGGCCTCGGCTCCATCCTCGGGCTCGGCTTCAAGAAATCGTGGGTCTCGTCGCGGTTCCCGTCCTTCACGCCGTTGACGTTTTCGGGCTACGTCATGGCCGCTGCTCTCGCCTACCACTTGTACAAGATGAAGATCGGCGCGTTGCTTGTGGACGGCGACTCGGCGTTGGTCAACTTGAACTTCGTCACGCATTATCTCCGCCAGTCGTTCTACGGGGACGCGGGCAAATACTTCAACTACGCCATGCTCGGCATGCTTCTGTGGGTGTCGTTTTACCACACGATCAGCGGGCTTTTCAAGTACCGCAGGCAGACCAGTCTCCGGGCCCGCAAGATCGCCTACACCGTCATAGGCCTCTTCTCCGGGCTCAGTTTCTTGGCCGTCACCCGCCTCAGGCTGTGGGACTTGGAAGCCGGCTTCGTGGGCAGGCAGTTTGCCAGGTACCTCTTTGTGGAGCGCTGAGTGCTACGACGCACCAGGCCAAAAGATGAACATGTATTGAATAAATAGATCCGGGCTCCACGAGCCAGGCCCCGCGTAGAAGAGAACCGAGGGGGGAACACACGAGCCGTGCGCCGCGCCCGAAGCGGCCTGTGCTCGCGGGCCTTGCTGCGCTGGTGGGGCCGCTCGACGCCCCCAGGTCCAAGACCCAAATCTCCAGACCCTCGCGGGTCCAGCGCCCGCGGATCTCACGGGAATCCAAACTTGAAAGGAAGCTAAACCACCAGATCATCACATCTCCGTGGAACGTCTATCCCCATACACCACGGAGAACCCCAGTTTCCGGGCCCGAGTGCCAGCGCCGAAACACCCGTGTGGCCCCGCGGCCAGGCGGAAAGCCGGGTCTTCATGCCCATGAAAACTGCGCCCAGACACGGCAAGCACCGCGCCGGGCCAGAACAGCCGGCCGCCTTAGGCCACGGCCGCACCCAAGGTGGGCTGCTTGACGGCATTGGCGCGCTTGGTCTTGTAGTCCTTGACTGCAGACTTGATGGCGTCCTCGGCCAACATGGAGCAGTGCAACTTGACGGGCGGCAACGACAACTCCTTGGCGATGGCGGTGTTCTTGATGGTCATGGCTTCCTCGAGGGTCATGCCCCTGACGAGCTCCGTGACGTACGAGGACGACGCAATGGCCGAGCCGCATCCAAAGGTCTTGAACTTGACGTCCTTGATGACGCCCGTGGCCTCGTCCACCTGGATCTGCAATCTCATGACGTCGCCGCATGCAGGCGCGCCCACAAGCCCGGTGCCGACGTCCTCGTCGTTTTTGTTCATGGTGCCGACGTTGCGGGGGTTGGAGTAGTGATCGAGCACCTTTTCGTGGTAGCCTCTGTGCTGGGGCCTGGCGGCTAAGGAAAAGGCGGGCACGGCGCGGGCGGCAGAAAGCGCCGCGGGGCCCACGGCTCTTCTGGCAGCGGCAAGCGCAATTGGTCTGTAGAGCTGTCTAAACATTGGCGGTATTCTGTGTGGAGTTTGGTTCTTTGTACCGAGTTGCAAAGAAGAGAAGTACGGAGCTGGAGACTGAGGGCCGCTAGAAAAAAGCGAGAATTCATGACGCACCCGCGCCTCTGTGCAGGTCCGCACTCCTCCTATAGGGGCAGAGCACCTGGGGCGGAGATGGCTCGGAGCGCGGCCGAGCCGTGTGCGGGCCACGGGCCCCCCATTAATAAGCACGGGGCAGGGCAGCACAACGGAGAACGAAGAAACAAACAAAGCACAAAAAAACACAAACAAAGCACGAAAAACACAAACAAAACAGACTGGGCGTTTGAGGGCGTCTTGCGTAGCACGACGGCTTTTTTGTTTTTTTGTTTCCCGCTGGTGCTGTGTTTTTGGGCCAGGCCTTCCCCGCCATTTGCCATCTCGTTTACTTGCCAGAAATGAAAGAATAGCTTATTTGGCCGAAGCCGGCCTGGCGCGCTGGACCATGGCCCCCGCCTTGGGGCGGTTGATTGGCTGCAGTGCGGCTCGCTCCGTGAACGCAGGCTGGCGAGCGATAAGAGAGGCCTAATTCGAGAGAAAAATAGAATGGGTGTGCATGGATGCGTTTGGAAGCGTTGTTTTCGCTGTTGGCTTTTAGTATCTCTGTGGATTTGCAAACAGGATTTGCTTTTTCTTCGCTCTGTGCCATTGCTCTGCTTTTAGTTTGTATTCACTTTTGTTTCGGTCCTTTGATTTTCTGTTGCAGGCTGGGTGGTCTTGTTACTCTTCGCACATTCGTTCTGCCTTCCAGGATTATTTGTGTGGCGCCCGGACTCCCTTCTGACTTTTGTTCCGATGTTCTAATTTCCATTCACTTCGGGTTGGTGTTGTGTTGCCATTGTGTTGATTATGTGATATTCTCTGTGAGTTATGCGATTATCCTGTGTGAATTATGTGATTATCCTGTGTGAATTATGTGATTATCTTGTGTGTTTCATGTGAACATTGTCGGTGAGTTATGTGATCATTGTGATGTCTTGTGTGGAACATTGCGTTCATCTTGTTAATTCTGTGATCATACTTTGTGAATCATGTGATCATTGTGTTCATCTTGTGTGAATTATGAGATCATCTTGTTAAATCTGTGATCATACTTTGTGAATCATGTGATCATTGTGTTCATCTTGTGTGAATTATGAGATCATCTTGTTAAATCTGTGATCATACTTTGTGAATCATGTGATCATTGTGTTCATCTTGTGTGAATTATGTGATCATCTTTTTAATTCTGTGATGAAATTTGGAATCATGTGGTGGTCATTGGGTTCATCTTGTGTAAATCATGTCGTCGTGATCTGTGAATTATGTGATCATCTTGTTAATTATGTGAACATCGTCGGTGAATTATGTGATCATTGTAATATCTTGTGTAGAACATTGTGTTCCTCTTGTTAATTATGTGAACATTCTCTGTGAATCATGTGATCATTGTCTTATCTTGTGTGAAATATTGTGTTCCTCTTCTTAATTCTGTGATCTTCTCGTTAATTATGTGATCATCTTGTTAATTCTGTGATCGTTGTCTGTGAATTATGTGATCATCTTTTTAACTATGTGAGCATCTCTGTGAATTATATGATCAGTCTGGTCAGGGTTTGTCCAGGTTATTAACTGGTGTGCTGATTTGTTTGTCCAGGGCCCCTCCAGGCCAGCGGCATGGATCATACAAATCATTCGCGATTCGCATATCATTAGTCCATGCCCCGTGCGGCCCCAATGGTGGGATGTATAGCGGGGCCACGAAAAAGGGAGGGAGAACAGGCCCGTGGCTCACGGTGCAGGCGCAAGAATGCTCCCCAAAAAAAGGGAGCCAAATCGTCGCCCTAGCTTGGAGTCGGAGGAAGCCCGAAAGGACTGCTTTTTGGTGACCCGGCAACCGGGTTCCGGAACGGAGCTATTTAACTCTGCTTCGCCAGCCGGGCCGGGTGGCACCACAATAGCTCGGGGAGGGCCTGTGTGCAAGACACACATGGGTGCCAGGGCAGGAACGCCTGGAACCATGGAGGAGTCTGCAAAACCACCAGAGCAGCTGCGGAGTTAGGCACGGACAAGAAGGGGTATTTTCTTCGCGGTGATGGCGTTGTATTTTTAGACGGAGCGAGGGTTGCTGAAGGACATGGCGTAGTTTCGACGAGTATGGAGTGGTTATTTCCGGAGTGGTTATCAGAGAAGATAGCGTGGCTCGCCATGCATGGATTCTGGTGCGAGGCCAATAAGGTAGGCCGGCACCAAAGTGGCGCCAGATTCTTCTGCGCCCTTCGCCCCACCTCGTATTGGCATATGCGATATTGGCGAGTGACGAACGGCACCAAGCGAGAGGGTTTATATGAGAGGGGCATTTGGATTTTTTTGAGGGTATTTATTGTAATTTGGGGATATTCGAACGTGTTGTAGAGGGTCTTTGAAAGCCTGATGGCATGCTGAATTGCACCACCTGATGCAGGATACTCGAATGTTTTACGAGGTGTAGTGAGTCGTGAAGAGAATCTAAACGAACTACTAAGGGTTTGAGTTTAGAAGCATTGGTGAGGTATGATGAAATATGATATGGGTGTTCAAACTTAATTTCAGGGACATTCTATTTCCAGGAGTATTTCGATCTATTTGCAGTGTATCTCAATGTATTTCTCAGAAGTACTTTAATGTATTTTCAGGAGTATTACGGTGTATTTTCAGGAGACCTTCAATGCATTTCCAGGAGTGTTTCAGTGCTTTTCCAGACGTATTTCAGTGCATTTCCAGGAGTATTTCAGTGCATTTCCAGGAGTATTCTGATGCATTATCAGGAGTATGTTAATGCTTTTTCAGTGACGTTTTGTTGTACTTCCCGAAGTATTTTGATGTATTTCCAAAAGTGTTTTCAGAAGTATTGTACTTTCAGAAGTAGTCCAACGCATTTCCAGAAGGATTCCAATGCAGTTCCCTGAAAACATTTCCAGTCGCACTTTGATGTATTTGCGAAGTATTTGCATTTTCAGTGACTTTCAAATCCATGAGTATGTCATTGCATTCGGAGTATTTGATACATCGACGTGGCGGAGCATGCAATAAACAGCGTGGAAACGGCCAACGTGGGTTCTCGAATACCGGAGCGTCTTGATATCCCATCTGGTGCAAGTGGCGTGGCCCGGCCTTCCAGGCAGCATGAAGGACCCAGCTCGCGCGCCAGCATTTCGGCAGATCTGCAAACCAGGCCCGTCCCTTGAATCACTCTCTTGAATTAGTCCTTGCTACGAGCGCCGGCCGTGTCAACAAAAAGAGCTGCTTGAAATTTGCACCACAGCCACCAATACCCAGCCCAAGTAGCACTAGTGTGCCGAATACAAAAAAAAAAACACATCGTCTCTGTTTTAATTTGCCGGCTTTCTTTCTATTTGCTGCCCACGCTATGGGCCCACTGCAGGCCTAGCAACGGCGCGCGCTTCCAGAATTCCCCGCACTGCCCGGGCCAATCAGCGGGCCCATTATAAATGAGCTCATCTATTAGCCCCAGGCTGCTCCCCAATTAGCCCGCCAAACAGCAGCCAATCTGCAGCGGTTGGCAGCACGGTCCTCCCGATTGCCTGGCCACCTCTTGTTCGCCGGGACACACAGAGCACTCGGGATGTATTGCCTGGCGCCAGCCAGACAAGACGCCGCGGCCAGGCTCCGTCGAGGCTTCCCGGGCCCGCGTTTTCTACGGCCCCATGAAAAGCAGACGGCCCCGTGAAAACAAAACGCCCCGCGAAAACAAAACGCCACCTGAACTACAAGAAAGCCACCACAAAAACAAGACAGCCACACAAAAACAAGACAGCCGCCCGGAAAAAAAGGCCGCTCGGAAACAGGGAGACCGCCCGGGAACCCAAAAGGCTGGCGGCCCGGCAGACCGCAAAAAGCCGCCCTTGTTGCAGCCATTGTGGCCGGTCCCTGCCGAGCGCCGGCGCCGGCGCCGCTAGGCGCCTCTGCCAGATTGGCCCGCACAGTGCGCCCCGCCCGCCCCGCGTGGAACGGAGCGCAAGAGGCCCGAAA